GTCTGTTTTATTCTCTGCTGATCTCCCTCCAGAAAATATGCTTGTCATGGCAGGTGTTTGGCCTAGTGGTTAAGATAGCGGCCATTGGTGGGTGAACCAACGGAAAAGGAGGACTTTTCTCTCTCTCTCTCACTGTCCACTCTGCCTGTCAAAAAAAAAAACTACTGTATCCCACGTCAGGGTGCCTGGGTTTACATCCCAACTCTGGCTCCAGACTCCAGCTGCTCGCCAGTGCAAGCTGTGATGAGTTAAGTGCTTGGATTCCTGCCAGGCACATGGGAGACCCGATTGCATTCCAGGCCTCTGACTTTGACCCCAGCCCAGTCCCACCATAAACTTTGCAGGTATTTGGGGAGAGAACCAGCAAACTGGGAGCTTACTGTCTCTTTGTCCCTCAAATAAAGAATTGGGGAAGCAGTACAAATTTATACATCCATCCATTCATTTATTCCTGACACTAGGCTTATAAGAATACAAAAAGCATGATTGAATGAATGAATGTTGAATGAATGAAGAGAATGATGGGTTGGAGGGGAAAAAGGCCAGGTAGGAGCACGGGATCTGGCGGGGAAGCTGGTTGAACAGTGGAGGCACAGGGCTGCTCTTTCTTCCCACTGTTTCCTTGATAGCCTTTTTCCTTTACTTACAATGTGTTCTTTCTCATCGAAACATTAACTGCATTGATCAAGGACAGAATGCTGAGACTTTCGTGTTTCCCCAGCAAATCAGTGATGGGAAATGATAATTCTCATTTGGTTGAACACACTCGGGCCATCATCTTTCAGTCTTTTTTTCCCCCCCTTCTGCTAACATTTTTTACTGTTGCTTTGTCATTTATCTGATATTGCAGAACTTGGCATATCTTCCCATTGAGTCCTTGTGCAAAGCAAGGAGTCCTTAGAATAAAGAGGGTTAGTCCATGGCGCTGGGCACACCCGTCTCTCAGTGTGGCCCCGTGGGCACACTGTCACCTCAGCAGTGGTCTGACTGCCTCACAGGCACTGCTTGGCAGCTCTCACGTGCCTCAGCTCTCGTCAACTCGAGGGCAAGAACCATTCCATTGTAACAGATGGACATGAATTTAACCAGACAATAAACCATGTATGTGCCATAAATGTGTTTGCGGAGGGCATGGTTCCCAGTGCAGAATTTTTAAGAACAGCTGTCCTATCGCGAGCTCGTTCCTTGGTGAGATGATTTGTTAACCTAATTCTGAAACAGATTACATTCATAAAGTTAATCTGTCAATGGCTTCTCCCCTACTACCCACATTCTAATTATTCTGGGGGGAGGGGACAGTTTATACAAGCAAAATTTATGTACACGAGGCTTAAAAACTAATTTGATCTGTTCTCTTTCCAAATCTGGTGTCATTTGTCTAAAAGGGGTCTTTAACCTTTTGTGCATTGCTAGCAACTTGCCTCAAGGCCTGTGGGGCATACAGATCATTCACTGAGAACCGTCATTTTATTTTCCTCGCTGCTTTCTCCTATTAAATTACTCGAGAAACGACTTAGTTTGAGCTGCACAGTTCTTTTAAAAAGTGCAGTTCTTTTTGTCTTCCCACTTCTTCCTGTCATTATCTTCGCAAAAGATGTTTTCATTCCCTCCACAAACATTGCTTTCCCTGTGGAATCTATGCAAATTAGAACATGGAGTATTTGTTCGTTTTGCATTCTTTAGAGGGTGACTTCTGTTGGTGTACATTTTCACTGGCGTGATCCACCAGGCAAAGTATAAATTGCTGTAAAACTGGAAAAGTGTTTGAATGAATAAAGCAGATGTTCTCTTAGCATGAAGCAGATGTAAAACTTGCAAGTGTCTGTCTAATAAAGTATAGCATTTGGTTCTATACAGCTGGTGCCAAGATTACCGATTAATCACGTTTGAACGCATTTTTACTAATTAGGTCCCCCTCTGTTCTTTACTGTTTGGGGTATTTTAAAGAGAGGGGCGGAGCACAAAAGCTTTTCACTTTGAATGCTTTGAGCAACATTTGTTTCTTTCTGTGGTTACAAGGCCATTCTTTCATTCTTGGAGCCGTATAGGAAATGAAGCCCATGGATGCGGATTACTGATTTAGCTCTGCAGTCTGATTTGGGGAGGTTGGTTTGCCGTTAGGATCTTACACTGAAAGTAATGGTTACTACTTGGAACACTTTAGGACAGCTGGAGAGAAGAAAAGGAATGTAATTAAACTTAATGTTTTCCTTTCTTATTTGCATGGACAAAAGCCAGTATTTGTTCAGTTAACATCAATTCATAGCCTCTGTGCTTGTCTAACCAATTAGGAGTTTGAACATTGTGGGGTTTTTTTTAATTAATTAATTAATTTGAAAGTCAGAGTTACAGAAAAGGGAAAAGAGAGATCTCCAGTCTGCTGGTTCACTCCCCAAATGGCTGCTATGGCCAGGACTGGAACAGGCCAAACCCAGGAGCCAGGAGCTCTGTCCAGGCCTCCCACAAGGGTGGCAATACTGGGGCCACCTGCTGCTGCCTTCCCCAAGTACATTAGCAGGAAGCTGGATCGCAAGTGGAGCTGCCAGTACTCACATTGGCACTCAGTGGTACTGGCATCACAGGCAGCAGCTTAACCCACTGTGCCACAATGCCAGCCCCAGGAGTTTCAACATTGTAGAAACAAATGATACCGGTTTCTCAGATTAAAGATGAGTGGGTTGACATAACTACTAAAAAGTGTTGCTTGTACTGCTATGAAAGACAGCACAACTCAGTAGCAGCTAAGAAAGCTTAAACAGCTGTATTCTGGGGGCCAGTGCTGTGTCATAGGTTAATTAGCATCCCATATGGGCCCCAGTTCAAGGCTTCTGATCCAGCTCCCTGAGAATGTGCCTGGGAAGGCAGCAGATGGTGGCCCAAGTGCTTGGCCCTCTGCACCCACATGAGAGACCTAGAAGAAGCCCTGGGTTTTGGGCTTTGGACTGGCCCAGCCCTAGCTGTTGCAGCCATTTGGGGAGTAAACCAGCAGATGGAAGATTCATTCTCTCTCTCTCTCTCTCTTCCTTCCCTCTCTCTCTAATTCTGCCTTTTAAATAAATAAATTAAAAAAATGTATTGTTATATATTGCCCATCATATAAAGCAGGAGTAGGGAATGTCAGACCCGTGGGCCTTCAGCTGGTCTGACCCTGAAATTTACTGAAACTCAGTAAATCTGCAGCAGGCTGATTTTTAAGTCAATAATTTGGTATGGCCTGCAAATGATGTTATAAATATCCAAATTGCCATTGACAGAAAAAAGGTTCCCCACCCCTGAGGTGGGGCTAGTGAAATTACATTTTTTTTTTTATTTGACAGGTAGAGTTATAGACAGTGAGTGAGAGAGAGAGAGAAAGGTCTTCCTTTACTTGGTTCACTCCCCAAATGGCCACCACGGCCAGCGCTGTGCCAATCAGGAGCCAGGTGCTTCCTCATGGTCTCCCATGCATGTACAGGGGCCCAAGCACTTGGGCCATCCTCCACTGCCCTCCTGGGCCACAGCAGAGAGCTGGACTGGAAGAGGAGCAACCGGGACTAGAACCCGGCGCTCATATGGGATGCTGGTGCCGCAGGCAGAGGATTTACCAAGTGAGCCACGGTGCCAGCCCATGTGAAATTACATTTTCGTACCTGATGGACCTTTCCTCCGTGCTTGATTTTCACCTGAGAAATTTGTTTGCTGTGAAAGGAAGTTCAGTATATAGGCAGACTGGCTACCCACTTTCTGGTTTTTTGTTGTTGTTGTTGTTGTTTTTGAAAAAAAAAAAAAGACTTAGTTAACAATGATATAACAGTTTGGTTTTTGGAGTCAGTAATTGGATAGTTTACACTCTTTGGTAATTAAGATAGTATTTCATCAATGCTTTATCCATGAACTGATTTATAATACTTTTTTTTCTAAAGGATCAGAGAAATATTTCAAGGATAGAGGAAATAGAGTAAATAACTTCCAGGTCTGAAGATAAATAGCACAAGGAGTTCTTCTAATGAAATGTTTATTACTATTTGAAGAACAGCTGGAGGTGTGTGGAGTGGTTCCTGGGCAGGAAGTGCAGAATTCTGGGTTCCTCAGTCCAGCTGGGTCTGTGGGATGTGGAGAGAGTGTTACACTTTAGACGTGTGGCACACTCTAGGACCTGGCTTTTTGAACATGGGGGGTAAAAGAATCTGTGATGATGTGGATTGTAACTTTCCACTCATTGTTACTTTGACACATACATGAAATACACAATCTGAGTATTACTAGGATTTTTCCAGAAAGGCTTCCTCATCCTCATTCCCCATTGCCTCCATATTTTGCGTTAATGATTTAAATTTTAAATTTGGTAAGAGCATCTTGCCGCTAAATTGACTAATGCTATTACTTTACAGTTTCAGATTTTCTAAGATTGAGCACTTGCCTAAAAGCAGTTTCAATATTTCACGTATCTATTTGCCTGCACAAGCTTCATTCCAGGATTACAGTTGTCAGAATAAAATTCGTATGTAAAGGGTGTGCTGTATTTGACGAAGAATACCTTACATTTTTAGGTTAAAAAGAAAGTCCTTGATCTTAAATAATTAGTGCTAGATAGGTATTTAGTGTGATTATAGTCCTCTTCATTGGGAGATTTTCTTTTCTTTTTATAATGACCTTGTTTTGTTTTTCACTGATATTATATTAGAATGGTGACTTTTTTTTTTGTTAATTTTTGAAATTTAGTTTTAATATGTCCTGATAGAAAAAGAAAACATTAACTGGGAAATGACAGTTTAAATGGAACCAGCTGTCTCTATTGGTTACGGAGGTTTGTTATGGATAAGGTCCAGCATCCAGGGTGGACAGAAGTGTGGGATAAGCCCCCAGCTCCAGCAATTGCCAGCCTTCTCCTGTCCGTGTGTGCAAACTTTCTTGAGACTGTATTTTCGGAGTTTTTTTCTCTCCTAAGTTACAATTCATGTCCTGTTTCTACAGTGACAATATATATTTAAGCAAAACCAGTAGATCTAACTTTGTTTCAGGAAGTGGAGCGAGAAATCTCATTCAGGACGGAATGTGGACTGTATTACTCCTACTACAAGCAAATGCTACAGGCGCCAACCCTTGTACAAGGTAATCACAAGCCAAGTAGTTTCATTTGGGGTCTGCTGCGTTCATTTCAATGTTTTAGTCAAAATGGGAGCAGGCCTTTAGGCTAGCGTTAGGAGGCCCACGTCTTGGGCCAACATTGTGGCATAGTGGGTTAAACCGTGGCCTGCAACATGGGCATCCCATATGGCTGCTAGTTCGAGTCCTGGTGGCTCCACTTCCAATCCAGCTCCCTTCTAAGGTGCCTGGGAAACTCACAGAAAATGGCCCAAGTGCTTAGGCCCCTGCCAACTGCATGGGAGACCCAGATGGAGCTCCTGGCTCCTGGCTTCAACCTGGCCCAGCCTTGGCTGTTGCTGCCATTTGGGGACTGAATCAGCAGATGCAGGATCTCTGTGTCTATCCCTAACTCTACCTTTCAAATAAATACATACATAAATGTTAAAAAAAAAAGTTTCTTTTTAGCCAAAACATTCTTTGCACTAAAACAGTTTAAATGCTTTGAGGAGCGTGAATAGTTCTTTCTTGTTAACATCTAATAATTTCCTGAAAAATATGCTCTGTAAGAAGTTACATAATTTTTATACATATTTTATATAACTCCCCTTCTTGCTTTCCAGCCCCTCTCTGTTCTAAAAGTAGTCTCTTTGTACTTTCTTGATTTTGTTGCTGATTTTTGTCATAATCCTTTTATTTTATTTTTTTGTTTTCACTTTATTTGAAAGATAAGTCTTCCCTCTGCCAGTTTACTCCCCAAATGCCCCTCGAGGGCTGGACAAGGGCAAAGCCAGGAGCTCAAAACGCCATCCAGGTCTCCCTCATGGCTGGCAGGAACCCGAGTGCTTGAACTCCATCATCTGCTGCTGCCGCCCGCAGTGCACATTAGCAGGAAACTGGATCGGAAGCATAGTAGCCAGGACTTGAACTAGGGGTAACAGGCATTCCAAATGCCATCTTTAACCCCAGTACCAAATGCAAACCCTTCATGATTATTTTAGAAAAAGTTTTACCAGTGAAATGAGTATTGATTGTCAAAAAACAGGAGATAGATTTGGTAATGCAAATTGTAGCTGTTCTTCTTGTCTCTGGTGGCCCCCAATCATTCCTTTCCTTTGCAATGGCCACTTCCCTGCATTTTCACTTTTCCTAAGTGGTTTCGAGCCCACGCTCTCCACCATCAGTCCCTGCTAATGGAAGCTCCAAAAGGATCTCTTCTACTTACTGTGCCTTTGACGTGACTGAGTGGGCCCATGTGACAGAATTGCCCTTGTCTAGGCTTTACTTGGATTCAATTAGAATGTTTTTGGAAAGAATTCTTTCCAGGTGATGTTTTGTACTTCTCATTTTACCAAAGTATGAGACATGAAGTTTTGGTTATTTTTCCAGAAAAATTATTGGGATCTCGAGTTGATAGCTTGATTTATCCACGATGAGGATAATTAGCCCACTGTCCTATAACTTCGTGTTTTTAGCAGCCGTTGATGATTGCCACTGTGCACTGTGACATTCTAATTGCATCACTGTTCCTGTGTTTACTGGCTGGAGCTCTGTGATATAGAAAGCCTTTCCTCATCAATTGTGAGGTCGCCCTGAGGTACCATTTCTACAAAAAAGGCAGAATAATGCTTGATCCCACCCCGACCCAAACAGTCAGTCATCGCTGTTCACGTGTTCTGTATTTGCATAATCATGTACTCACAAAAATGAATCTCTGGCCACCCCCCCCCCCCCAAATCAGCATTCATGATGCTTTCACAGTCATTCATGGATACGTCCCAAGCTGTGGAAAGTTCCAGTCATCCACGTGCTTGCTCCCAGCAGAGACTGAACAAGGTGTCACTCTGCCTGTTTCTGTCCTCATACTCCAGTGCCCTTTCTGCAGTCTTACTTACTGCCACGTTTCCACCTTTTTCTGCTGTTTGTTGGTGGTCTTGCAGTTGAAAATGGCCCGCAAGCGTGTGGAAAGTGCTGTCTCGTGCTCCTAAGTGCAAGAAGGCTGTGCAATGCATTACAGAGGAAATATGTGTTAGATAAGCGCCATTCAAGCATGAGCCATGGTGCTGTTGACCATTAGTTAGTTAAATGTTAACAAATCAGTAAATATTAAAGAAACTGTCTTTAAACAGAATCCCACATTAAACAAGGATGCGTGTAGGTCACTTGACCAAAATCCATTACCATAAGGTCGCAGGGACCTAACCCTTTAATTCCTAATAGTATTCGCTAATTCCCTTTCTACTGTGACTGTGTAGAACATCACCACTCTGAATACTGAGAGTTGATGCTGTTTGCCAGTTCTCACGTTGCTTCTCTAGCATTCTCTAAGACAGTGATTCTCACGGGTAATGGTGGAGGGAGGACTGGGATGGGGACTGTGCCCCAAGGGGACATTTGGAATGTCTGGAGACATTGTGGACTATCACACCTCCAGGCTGGGGGTCCTACTGGAATCCAGTGGGTGGAAGCCAGCGTTGCTACCTGATGTCCTCCAACACACAGGTCCACCCCAGTGTCAGTCAGTAGTCCTGAGGTCAAGAAATGGCTGGACGACTGCTGTGAGGGTCACTGTGGACGCAGTGGTCTACTTACTGGGATTCATTTGTCATTCATTAAGTGTTTTTTTGGAAGACTGAAGCACATAAAAAGGTGGAGAGTGTGTTTCCACATGCCCGTTACACAGCCAGAACAGTTACGAACTCCTGACCAGTCTTGTGTTCTCCTTCCCCTGCCCAAAACCTGTATTTTGGACTAAATCCAAGACAAAATATTTTTCTTTTTTTAAGATTTATTTATTTGAAAGTATTACAGAAGGAGAGACAGAGCAATAGATAACTCTTCCATCCTCTGCTTCACTCCCTCCATGGCAGCAATGTCAGGGCTGGACCTGTCTGAAGCCAGGAGCCAGGAGCTCCATCCAGGTCTCCCCTGCAGGTAAAGGAGCCCAAGGACTTGGGCCATCTTCCACTGCTTTCCCAGGTGCATTAGCTGAGAGCTGGATCGGAAGTGGAGCAGCCGGGACTCGAATTGGCACCCATATAGGGTGCTGGCATTGCAGGTAGCAGCTTTAACCCGTTATGCCACAACTCCAGCTGCCAGCAGATTGTTCTGTGAACACATCAGTGTGTTTCAGGAGTTGATGTTTTGCCCTGAGGGGTGCCCTTCTGACTACTTACTTTTTGACCTGACCCTGGTGGCCTCTGAAGACCCCGTTCCTTTTTGGACAAAGATCTTTCAGGCCAATGGTGTATTTCCTAGAATCCACCCTTTCTCCAAGGAGCTCTAGTGCATTCGGGCAGCAGGGACATTGTTTCCAAGTAGAACTTGGAGCTGTGCTCCCCCACAAAAGAAAGTATGCATATAACCAATTTCACTTCCAAGTTGAGGTAACATGGATTTTACTTTTTACTTTTTTGGTTTTAAATTTGTATTTTTTTTAAAGTTGAAAACTGATTCTTAATAATATTAGTGTTATTTCTATGCTATTTTATATCTGTAATGCTTTCAAAGTAACAGTAATAGCATTGCTGCTTGCAGTGTTAACTACCCGAGAAGCTGTCTCTGCAGCTCTTTCCTCCTTATCTCATCTGGGGCCACACATGGTCACTTCCCTGGGTTTTCAGGTCACTGGAAAGCATTCTTTCTCTGAGACTGAGCCACCACTCAGTAGGTTTACTTCTTTATCCTGCTTTTGGTTTTCAGGCATTGTGTTGTAAAATTTTTTATTTACCTTGTTTTATACTTATAGAAAATGTTTACATGTTCCCAAAATCAAAACTATGAAACAGAAAGCACCCAGAAGGGGCCTCCTTCCGTTTCCTTCCCAGCTCTTTAGGTAACCATTTTTATTAGTTTTTGGTTTATTCTTACGCTGTTAGTAGTTTAACTATAAGCAAGAACTTCATTCACATTTCCCCTTTTATCAGAGGAAAACTGCTTGCCATATACACTGTTCTCTACTTTGTTTTTTCCACTTAGCAAAAAGTCTTGGGGATCACTCTGGTGGGGCATGAGGGTGGCTCTCATTCCTTTTTGCAAGTATGTAGCACTCCTTGGTGTGATGACCACAGGTGACCATCAGGGGAGGCCCCTTAATAGCTTGCTCGGGCTGCTGCACAAAATGCTGTAGACTGCGTGGCTTAGGCAATAGAAACCTGTTTCCACGTGTCTCTGGAGGCAGAGGTTGAGGTGAGGAGGCCCACCTGATCGGGTTCTGATGACAGCCCTCTCCGTGACTTACAGACAGCCGTGTTTTTGCTGTGTCCTCGAGTGGCAGAGACAGCAGGCAAGCTCTGTGGAGTCTCGTCCCGGGCTGGAGGGGCAGGGACACAAACATCCAGTCCCTCCCAGCCCCATGTTGCTCTTCTAGGGCTGCCGTGCCCGCATAGTGCAAGTGGGCAGCTTCAACAACAGACACTTGTTTTCTCTCCGAGGGCAAGGTGCTGCCAGGGCTGGTTTCTGGTGCGGCCTCTCTTCCTGTCCTGTAGACACCCCCTGCCCTTGGTGTCCTCACGCAGCCTTTTCTCTGTGCAAGTGGCAGGAGGAGGAAGAGCAGCAGCACAGCTCTTATCTGTTCCTCTTCTGACGCGGACATCAGTCCTGTCAGACCGAGACACCTCTCGCCCTTGATGGATCTTCAGATGCAGGGAGGCTAGGACGTCAGCACAGGAACTCGAGTTCCGCCCGCGTCTCCTCCCACTGAGGGATGTTGGGGTTGTTGCTGATCTTTCCCTGTTGAACGACCCTGTGTAAATGACCTCGTGCCTGCTGTGCTCTGGCCAGACTGCCTTTGGCAGTGCTTTAGGTCGGAGCTGGCCTTTTCAGATCAGCGGGCCGGTGCACACGATTCGGCTGGGTGGTGCCGAATTCTTCCATAGGGATGATGCCATTTTGCATTCCCAGCTGCACTGCGTGAGAGTCGACTTCCTCACAACCTCACTAACTTGATTTTAGCCAAGGTGATGGATGAGAAATGGTATCTCAGTGCAGTTCTAATTTGCACTGTCTGTGGGAGTGAGGTTGAGTGTCTTTTCCTACGCCCGAGGACAACTGTGCACATTTTATTCCATGAACTAGCCAGCTGTACCTCATATTGTCGGCTTAGTTACAGCAGCACATGACCCCGGTGTGACAGTGGGTTTCTGTGACAACAGGTTTAAGTCTCTCTCGTCACGTCTGCTGCGAGGCAGCAGCGGCCCTGCCTGCCATGTCCTCTTACACTAGCCCCTGTTCGGAACATGCCAGCGTCATGGCAGAGGCAAAGAGTGACATTGGTAGAAACGTGTCCTCTCTGAAAACCCCACGTGTGGTGTGCTTCCCATCCACTCACGTGCCATGGGTCAGTGTCCCAGGGAGTGGGAAGGCTGTGAGCACTCTGCGGAGGACTGCCCGGCGAGGTGGCAGTGTGGGGGATGTCAAGTCCTCTCACCCAGTGTCTGCACAAGAACCAGTGTGTTTTTCTTTGTCATTGCAGTCATTAAGGTTTTGTGGACCTATGTTTGTGCAAACACTCCAGTAGTGTCCATCTGATCCATGTGGAAAGCTCTTTGAGAGTAGGCCTGGAGGTTTTTGCTTACTGTTCTATCTCCACTGCCTACTGCAGTCTCTGACACATCCTAAAGAGTCAATAATTTGAATGAATACTTTTAACTTTTTCCCCCTGATTTCTCAAATATTAATCTTAGGTTTTCATGGCTTAATATATGATAATAAAACTGAATCCATGCGGACAATTAACCTCCTTCAACGAATGAATATTTACCAAGAGGTTTTTCTCAGTATTTTGTATAGAGTTCTACCCATACAGGTAAGTTGCATTCTGTGACACTGAATTGTTAATATCAAATGAAAGAAAAATCTGCCACTTTGAGCTGAAAGTCTCTTATATGTTCTTTTGATGTTTTCTGGCTCAGAAGCAAATCAGCAGTACCCTGATTTTCTTCATGTATATTGTGAATTGTGCTTTTTATTTATATGTTTCTCTTTTCAAAGGTTTTTATATAGAGATGTTTCCTGGTTTATAATATATGTGAGCAGCCTAGACTTTGATAAATCCTTTCATTTGGAAATGTGTAATCACTCTGGGTTTATCTTTGAGATAAAAAAGATAATTTGTTAAGTTAGCAAATTGCAGTGACCAGTACTCATGTGGATGAGATAAAATTGGACTAAGTTAAGTGCAACTTGGCTGAAGAATGGAGCTGGAACCCTCAGGGACTTCCCTTCCTGTGCACCTGTTGGTAGGGAGGAAGAGCAGCAGGTGCTCGTGCAGATGGAGGGGCGGTGTGGGCTCACAGCTGGGAGTGAACAGCCAGCGTCTGAGCTTCGCATTGCTACTGTCATGGTTTTGTTTGTTTTTTGTTTTTAACATGGCAGCAAGGAGAGTTGCAGCTTCCCTGACAAGTACTTTTTCTTTTTCCCTTCTACAGAAATATTTAGAGCCAGTTTATTTTTATATTTATACCTTATTTGGGCTGCAGGCAATTTACGTGACAGCTCTTTATGTCACCAGCTGGCTCCTTAGTGGTACCTGGCTCTCAGGACTGTTAGCAGCCCTCTGGTACGTCGCAAACAGGTGAGTAGAGGCAGTCTGCCCCTCTGTCTGTCCAGAATGTGGGCGAGCCTGAAGTTAGCTTCGTTTCCAGTTCAGAGGCATTTCCTCTGCCACTTGCGTGGACAGGAGCATTTCTCTTTGGTTTGCCTGAGAGTTAAATGTTTCTTACTTGGTAAGGTGAAAGTCCCACTTGCATATTTCCATCTGAGGAACAGTAAATTGCAGATTGGGACAGTCCTCAGTAGTAATCCCAGCTCAGTCCAACCAGTAATTCTCTGCATGCCACATATGCTGGTATTTAAAAAAGTTTATACGGGGGCCCCAGCTGCTTCTCTTCCAATCAGGCTCTCTGCTCTGGCCTGGGAAAGCAATAGAAGATGGCCTACGTGCTTGGGCCCCTGCACCGACATGGGAGACCCAGAAGAAACTCCTGGCTCCTGGCTTCTTATCAGCCCAGCTCCTGCAGCCATTTGGGAAGTGAACCAGCAGATGGAAGATCCTCTCTCTCTCTCTCTTTTTCTCTCTCTCTCTCTCTGTGACTATACCTCTCAAAAAGAGTTTATGCAGATGCAGAAAATTCTGAAAGCCGTGTTTATGAGGGTCTTCAAAAAGTTAACAGAAAATGCCATGAATTTCAACTTTTTTGGTGCAAAAATAGATTAATTTTTTTGACAGGCAGAGTAGACACTGAGAGAGAGAGAGAAAAAGGTCTTCCTTTGCCATTGGTTCACCTTCCAGTGGCCACCGCGGCTGGCGCACCGCGCTGATCCAATGGCAGGAGCCAGGTGCTTCTCCTGGTCTCCCATGGGGTGCAGGGCCCAAGCACTTGGGCCATCCTCCACTGCACTCCCTGGCCACAGCAGAGAGCTGGCCTGGAAGAGGGGCAACCGGGACAGAATCCGGCGCCCCGACCGGGACTAGAACCTGGTGTGCCAGCGCCACAAGGCGGAGGATTAGCCTAGTGAGCCGCGGCGCCGGCCTAGATTAATTTTTTAAAAAATATTTTATTTGCTTTATTTGAAAGACAGAAAGAGAGAGTGACAGACAAGAGATCATCCATCCACTGGTTCACTCCCCAAATGCCCTTAATAACCAGGGCTGGGCCAGGCAAAAGCCCAGGAGCCCAAAGCTCAGTTGGTGTCCACGTGGGTGGTAGGGACCCAAGTACTGGAGCCATCACCTGCTGCCTTCCACAGTGCACATTAGTGGGAAACTAGAATTGGGAGCAGAGCCAGCAAGAACCCAGGCACTTGGATATGGGATGTGGGCTTCCCAAGCAGCATCTTAAGCACTGCATCTAACTCCCACCATAAATATGTCTTTTTTTTTTTTATGAGTTTTTTTAAGTACTCTCACATTGTATCCTGAAGGGCTTTAAGAATATCTTTGGGGCCAGCGCTGTGGCGTAATGGGTAAAGCCACCGCCTGCAGTGCCGACATCCCATATGGGTGCTGGTTCAAGTCTCAGCTGCTCCACTTCCAATCCAGCTCTCTGCTATGGCCTGGGAAAGCAGTACAAGATGGTCCAAGTCCTTGGGCCCCTGCACCCACATAGGAGACCCAGAAGAAGCTCCTGGCTCCTGGCTTTGGATCGGCGCAGCTCCGGCCATTGCAGCCAACTGGGGAGTGAACCAGCGGATGGAAGACCTCTCTCTCTCTCTCCTTCTCTGTCTGTGTAACTGACTTTCTTTTTTTTTTTTTTTTTTCTTTTGACAGGCAGAGTGGACAGTGAGAGAGAGAGACAGAGAGAAAGGTCTTCCTTTGCCGTTGGTTCACCCTCCAATGGCCGCCGCGGCCAGCGCGCTGCGGCTGGCGTACTGCGTTGATCCGAAGGCAGGAGCCAGGCACTTATCCTGGTCTCCCATGGGGTACAGGGCCCAAGCACTTGGGCCATCTTCCACTGCACTCCCTGGCCACAGCAGAGAGCTGGCCTGGAAGAGAGGCAACTGGGACAGAATCCGGTGCCCCGACCGGGACTAGAACCCGGTGTGCCGGCGCCGCAAGGCGGAGGATTAGTCTAGTGAGCCGTGGCGCCGGCCTGTAACTGACTTTCAAATAAATAAATACATCTTTAAAAAAAAAAAGAATATCTTCACCAAAGAGATGTGTGCCACTCTTAAATAGCAAGGCATAAAGTACTAAGAAAATAACACAGAAATTCTTACATTAATTAATATCTACTATTCATAAATATTGGAGCCTTATGAAATGGAATTCTCAAAAACGTATTCAAGGTGTATTGAATTATCTGACCTGCAATGGTAACACCAATATTTGGTAAGATGCTTAAAACTTGAACATAAGTTCTAGTACAGATTTTATTTTGTAATCCTGAACAAATTGGCTTTTTTTTTTTATAATCTTACTGAGTATTTACTATGTGCCAAGCATTTTACAAAATGTTTTAGATGTATTCTTTTGATAACCCTATAGGGTAGATATTATTATCCCCCTTTTGGAGATTAGAGAGTTGACTTTTAAGCGATTACATTGTACGTATATGAGAACTTCAGAAATTTTGTTGGAAAAGGGAAGTAAAAGGTAAATTGATTTTGGTGTAAAACAATTTGGAATCCGGGCTGTTCGTATGGTGCAGAGGGATAAGCCACTGCCGGAGACACCTGTATCCATGTGCACGCTGGATCCAGCTCCCTGCTAACATGCCTGGGAAAGCAGTGGAAGACGACCCTGCCACCCCTGTGGGAGATAAGATGGAGTTGTGGGCTCCTAGCTTTCACCTAGCCATTGTGGCCATTTAGGGAATAAACCAGTACATGCAAGATTGCTCAACTGATCGATCTCTCCCTCCCTCCCTTCTTCCCTCTCTAAATCTGCCTTTCAAATAAATGAATATGTCTTTATTAAAAAAATTGAAATCCATGAATAGTTTTTTTCATCATATACATTTCCATGAATTTTTTGAAGATCCCTTGTGGTGTGTGTATGTGTCTGTGTTTGCTGCATTCCTGCTGCCTAATGTGTGCAGGGTTGATTCTCGGCACTGAGCATACAAAGATAAAAACTATACTTGCTGCCCGGGGCTTTACATTCCAAAGAGGCAAGAAGTCTTTGAAAATTATTTCCAATGGTAAATTTAAGACTCAAATATAAAGCACTAAAGAAATGTAGAGGGGGAGAATACACAACACTGCCTTGTGATATCAATGAAGTTAGAAATAAAAATAGCAAGCAGTTTGGCCTGGTACATTCATGGGTCTGGGAGTCGGGCTGACATGGGCTTGAACAGTCAGTTCTGCCACTTAGCGAAATGCGTATCCGGATCACTCAGATTTTCCCACTGTCAACCTTGTATTATGGAGATGATGATAAGGGCAGTTTTAGTTATTGAGAGCCAGTGGCCAGATTCTGAGTATCCTTTTGTGGGGTACTTCAAAACTTCATGGGAAAATGTAATTTAAGAATGGCTTTATTTTGGTACAAAAAATGTTTTGAAATCCATGTGTGGTATTTTCCGTTCAGACGCATCTTCCCATGATTTTTTTTGAAGTATCTGCAAACTTAATGTATAATTTCTTTCACTTTAGGAAGCCTTTGAGGCAATTATGAAAGTTATCCTTTTGTCTATCTGTGTTTTCTTTTGTGCAGAATAGATACCACAAGAGTTGAGTTTACCATCCCGCTGAGGGAGAACTGGGCACTGCCATTCTTTGCAATTCAGATAGCAGCAGTTACCTATTTCCTGAGACCAAACTTACAGCCTCTTTCTGAAGTAAGTTTTTATAACACTTCATATATTTTCCAATTTCCCAGGTTTATATAAGAAACTGGAAAAAAATGTATGCCTAGTGTCCCAATACATGCAAATAGTTCTTATTCTATGACCAACTTTTTAACTCGAGTTAAATTTTTTTTCTTCTGAGCTCTAGCCTACTTTGCAAAGAAAATGTTTTCATTTTTTGATGTTAAAAATGTACTCTAACATAATCTGCCCTTAAATAGTTGCAGCAAACCCACACACAATTTCTGCAAAACTGTCAGAATTTTTAAGCCATTGCTCTTGAGATGTGACTTAGTGCATTATCGCCTCCATAATAGTGTGGAATACACATACCGTATGTGAGCATTTATATGCAAAGTGTCACTGAAGGATATTTAGAGCTTAAATAACAAATGCAAGGGTTTTCAGAGCAACAGTTTACGGTTTCTTTATTTGGTTTATAGAGATATAGGCTGCTCTTGAGCAAACTTGTCGGCAAGATTTTTTATTACTAGAGGCACGCGCGTTATATAAAGGTTTTCTCTCTACAGAGGCGGACGCTTCTTGCCATTTTCATATCAACTTTTCTCTTTAGTCTGACATGGCAATTTAATCAATTTATGATGCTGATGCAAGCATTAGTGCTGTTCATACTGGACTCCTTGGACATGCTGCCGGCAGTGAAGGTAAGCTTTGCTTTCTTTTCTCATTTTGAGAATTCCATTGGTTAATGTCGCAGAATGTGATGAAAGTGTGCCGATACTAAAGGATAAAGCTCTTCCTTAGCTCTAACGTAAATATGCTGTTGTCAGTTGAGACTGAGTTATTTGTGCAATGCAGCTTGACAGTCTTGACTTTTATTGTGCTTAAAAAATGGATTTGTTTGAGGCGTAAATCCAGATCAATTGTCTTTATTGAGATGGTTTAAATTTTAAAACATAAATGTGCTTTAAATGTAAATGTGTGGCTACAATTGCCTTTTCTTCAGGGAGCTCAGTGGGTATATAGCATTCTTGGTATAGTACTTTATAAAAGTTTCATAGTAACATTTAACCAATATGGGATGTGAATCCTATTGACTAGGCAAAGGTCACACGGGAAATAAGGAAACCCCCATCTGTCTCCCAGTGTGTGCTGCTGTCATTTAATCACATGGGTTTGTTTTATTTGCAGAAATGTATTTTACTGTGTTGTGTACATTTTAAAAATGCCCATACATAATATTCTATAGTAGCGGTAACTTAGGTATTTTCTAAGTAAAATAAAATATTATCTCTAAACATAAGGCAGCAAGATAGCCCAACATAGAATTACAGTCAGCTATTCCATATCATAGGAGATGCAATAAACTTTGAAAACTGAGACTGAATTAAGAAACATTAAACTCAGTTACCAAATATACCTTGTCCACTGAGTCACAAGATTAGCATAGGTACTATAGAACATGCCAGTCTGTGTAAGAAATTGCCCCATCTACAGGGAATTCACTATCCAGGTTGGAAAATAGATATTGACAACTAGAACAACTAGAGAAATTATAGCTGTCAACTTGTAGTAATGATAAGGGCTAGAAGTCTAGAAGAGAAGTTCTTTTTAGGCAAAAAAGATTTCCAGGAGCGGAGAGACTAGAACTGGGCCACAAAGGAGGAGAGCAGAAATTGGGTCGAGTGTGACACGGCAGGATAGGTCAGTAAAATAGATACGGAAGTAGATACGGTGAGTTTTGCACATTTTATTAATGTTTCTGCAGGTGTGAGGCACTGGCCATCCACAGACTGCTGGTGAAATATAAATCCTTGTCTGCAGTGTAGCTTGACAGTAGGTATCAGAAGCCTTTCACCAGCACTTCCACCTCTGGAAATCTATGCCAAGGAAATTACCAACCGTGTTCCTTTCAGTTGTGTTAAAATAAGGAAATCTGAAAATGACTCAAGTCAGTAGCAGTAGGCTGTAGTTACACACACACACACACACACACACACAAATCATGGAGACTAGAAGGGAGTGGCACAATATTTTTCCAGGTGCTGAATTAAAAAAAAAAAAACTGTCATCCCAGAATCCTATCCACAATGAAACTGCTTCAGGAGTGAAGGGGAAATTAGAGCATCCTCAGTGGAACCAAACTCTCAGAAGCTGTCAGAAACAGACCTGCCCTGTGGAAGAACCATGAGAGGAAGTGACTGAGACAGGAAGGAAGTGATGAGTAAGTTTTTCAAACAAAAATGAGATGAAACAAAAAGGAATTTTTATATACTAAGAAGAAAGCAAAGGCAGTGAAGAAAAGTAAACATGAATAGATGTAACAAGCTTTCGTTCTCTTGAGTTTTCTAAATTTAATGGCCGAGGCAAAATTATAAAATGTGTGACATGGCTCTCAGTGTGTGTAGATTTAAGACAATGTATTATAAGTGGGAAAGGCAAAAGGACTTAAGAGGTAAGTTTTCTGTGTTTTGCTAAGAATAGTAAAATGACCATATGAGTAGACTACATATAATAGGTTATAAATGCATAATACAACACTCAGAAGAACCACTAAAAAATCTGCATGAGGAAATACAAACACTACACATAAACAATAATGGAATTATGAAAATGTTCAAGTAACTCATAGGAAAAAGAAGAGAGAAATGCATTAACAGCCAATGAACAACAGTAACAAAACCCAGTACAATGGCCAATTTAAGACCCAACATATTGGTAATTACATTACAGTAAAAGATCTAAATTCACTAATTAAGAAAAGATGAGCAGAGTGAATAGTGTAACCCAAGTGTTATAAGAAACTCACTTCAAATTTAACAGGAGAGATCAGTTCGGAGTAAAGGAAGGAGAAGGGCACTGTGCAAACATCAACCCAAGGAAGGTAGGAGTGACTGTAATAATAGCAGATAAAGTGGAGGTTAGGCAGAGAAAACTGTCGGATCAGGACATCGTGCAGTAACAAGCTGGTCATTGCACCAGTGAGACGGAGCGACCCTCGATCCGTGTGCACCAGTCAGCAGCACTGCAGCGTGCTCAGTGTGAAGCAGACGCTGACGGACCTGGCAGGAGAAGCAGACGACTCCGCAGTTGTGGGTGGGGACTCACACCCTCCTCTAGCAGTTGATGGAACCATTCTCTCAACGGTTGATGGAGTGCTAAACAAAATCATCAGCTATCTAGAACTCTACAACATTATTCACCAGCACAGATTATATCCTGGACCACGAAACAACAACAAATACAAAAGAATTAACATCATTGAAATTACATGTATTCTTTCCCCACAATGATTGATTTCAAGTTAGAAATCAATATAGAATAGCAGGAAAATATTCAATAATAGGAAATTAAACGTCACCGCTACTAAATAATCCTATGGGTCAAAAAGGAAGCCTTGGAGAACATTGAACTCAATGAAAATGAAAATTAGAGCATGTCAGAATTTGTGGGGGCATGAGGCCAGCGCTGTGGAACAGTGGGTTAAAGCCCTGGCCTGCAGCACCGGCATCCCATATGGGTGCTGGTTCAAGTCCTGGCTGCTCCACTTCTGATCCAGCTCTCTGCTAATGTGCCTGGAAAACAGCGGAGGATGGCCCAAGTCCTTGGGCCCTTGAACCTACATGGGAGACCCAGAAGAAGCTCCTGGCTTCAGATCAGCTTGGCTCTGGCAGCCATTGGGGAGTGAACCTGCAGATGGAAAACCTTTCTCTCTAACTCTTTCAAATAAATAAATCTTAAAAAAAAAAATTGTGGGGCACATCTAAAGCAGTGCTAAGAAGGAAATATCTAACATTAAATGCTTATATTATGGACCAGCACTGTGGCACGGTGGGTAAAGCTGCCACCTGCAATGCTGTATCCCATATGGGTATAGGTTCAAGTCCCAGTTGCTACACTTCCAATCCAGCTCTCTGCTATGGCCTGGGAAAGCAGTAGAAGACGGCCCAAGTCCTTCAGCCCCTGCACCTGGTGTGGGAGACCCATAAGAAGCTCCTGGCTCCTCGCTGCGGATTGGCCCAGCTCCGGCTGTTGTGGCCATTTGGGGAGTGCACTGGCGGATGGAAGACTTCTTTCTCTCTCTCTGCCTCTCTGTAACTCTGCCTTTCAAATAAATTTTTTTAAAAAGTGCTTACATTAGGAGAGAGGAAAAGTCTGAAATCAGAAATCTAAGCTCTCACCTTAAGAAATGGGTGCATATGTGGCCTACTGGTTGAGATGCCACTTGGGATGTCCACTTCCCTTATAGGAGTCCTTGGTTTGTATCCTGGCTTCAATCCTCATTCTGACTTCCTGCTAATGTGAACCCTGGAGGAAGCAGTTGATGGCTGTGGGTTTAGGTCCCTGCCACCCACATGGTGGAGTTGGTTTGAGTTCCTGACTCCTGCTTTGGCGTGGCTCAGCCCTGGCTGTTGCATGCATTTGGGGAATGAACCAGCAGATGTGACCTTGTACTCTATCTTTGTCTCTCTCTGTATCTCCCTCTCTATCTCCATGTCTTTCTCTATGTTCTTCTCAAATAATTGGAAAAGAAAACAAATAGAAAAAGCAGAGTGAGATAAACCCAGTGCAAGTAGAAGGAAGGAAATAATAAAAAGCAAGAATCAATGGAATTGAAGATAAAAGGGTAGAATCAATGAATGAAAAATCTTGTTCTTTGAAGAGATGGATAAAATTACACACCACCTGCAAGACTCTATGATTGCCTGGTGGTGTTAAAATTTTCCGTTTGAGCATACTGTGAGACCAAAGTTCTGAGTCTCTGTGCACTACCTGTATTCTGGCCAGGATAGCATAGTGGTTAAGAACACAAACTCCTAAGTTTGACTTAATTAATACAGCTGTGTCCTTTTGAACACCGCCTGATATTTTTAAATTGTTAAATGTTCACTGTGGTGGTGATGAGGCACATGAGCATGAGCCAGTGAAGAAAATTTCGCTTACTCCATACAGAAGCAGTCTGCTTTTGCTGCCTTGTTTCTATACAGTTCTGTAAAAGAACCTGTGAAGGAACATCAGCGGGACCACTGTTGACCCAGGCCTTCTAACATGCAGTACTGCTCAACCCTGCATTCCTGGCTGCCCACCAGCAGTGTCTCATTTGAACCTAGGATATTACTATGTGTATAAAATTCTACACTTGTTACTAAACAAGCTATGTTTTTTCTAGAAGTGTGCCCACTTGATATAAAGAAGAACTGCTGGCATGAAAAACATAACCCAAATAAAAGCAAACAAACATTTTTTTTGAGAAATGAGTAAAAACATTTACAAGTCAATGAGAAAAGGGAGTGCAGTATACAAATATGAGAACAAATAAAGAATTAAATACTCAGGTGTAAGTTTAGCAAGAAATGTGAACATGTACTCTGAAAACGACAAAATATAAGATGTTAAAAGAGCTAATTAAAATGGAACAATATCCCATATTCATTGATCAGAAGACGTTGTTGGCCGGCGCCGTGGCTCAATAGGCTAATCCTCCACCTAGCGGCGCTGGCACACCGGGTTCTAGTCCTGGTCAAGGCGCCGGATTCTGTCCCGGTTGCCCCTCTTCCAGGCCAGCTCTCTGCTGTGGCCAGGGAGTGCAGTGGAGGATGGCCCAAGTGCTTGGACCCTGCACCCCATGGGAGACCAGGATAAGCGCCTGGCTCCTGCTTTCGGATCAACACGGTGCGCCGGCTGCGGTGGCCACTGGAGGGTGAACCAACAGCAAAGGAAGACCTTTCTCTCTGTCTCTCTCTCTCACTGTCCACTCTGGCTGTAAAAAAAAAAAAAAAGAAGAAGAAGAAGACGACATTGTTGACATGGCGGTACATCCTCAAAATTCACCCAACACAATCCCTTTCTGAATCCTAGGTGGATTTTTTCTTTTTTTTACAGAAATTGAAAAGCTGATTCCAAAATTCATATGAAAACTCAGATGACCCAGAATAACCCAAAAAATCTTGAAAAAGAAGACCAAAGTTGGAAAAATCAACAGAGCTGCAACGTCAGAATAGTATGGTGCTGGCAGTAAGATAAACATAAATCAATGGAATAGAATTAAGAGACCAGAAATAAACTCTCACCAGAAAGAGTTGATTTTCTACAAGTGTGCCAAGATAAATAGAAAAAGAATAATCTTTTCTGTCGCTCCCCCTCTTCGTGGAGGAACGACACAGGACCCTGCGCTGTTCTTTCGTCTGCTCGGCCCTCCCCGGGTTTGCTGCTGGTTCTTCCCGGGTTGGCTGCCGTCCCTCCACCTCCGTGGAAGGGCGGTTCCCCCTGCCACATTCCCCACTTCCGCGGGGGAGCGGCACACCGCCGGCCGGCTCTCTCGGGGGCTGCACAGGTGTTCCCCTTAGATGTTCCTGGTGCATGCCGTCTCTCTCCTCCTTTATAGTCCTCCTCCGCCAATCCTAACTCGGCTGCCCACACGCCGAGTACGCTGCTCTCCTCCAATCAGGAGCAGGATCAGCTCCTGGAGGTCATCACTCAAGTTGGCAAGAGGCAGCTGCGTAGAAGCTGTTTTCTCCTCTCCCAGCACCATATTGTGGGAGAGCAGATGCATAGAATAAGTCTTAATTCCAGTAACTCAGTCCAGTCCGGGTTGCTCCCCACACTTTTCAACAAATGGTACTGGAATAACTTGATATCCACATGCAAAAGAATGAAGTTGGACCTCTTCCTCTCACACTGTACATAATAATTAACCTTTAAATGGCTCATAGACCTGGATATAAGAGCTAAAACTATACAGCTTTTAGGAAAAACAGAAATAACTCTTCATGACCTTTGAACAGTCTATACCTTCTTATATGCAACATCAAAAGCACAGTGATTTTTTAAAAAGTAGATGGAAAATGTTTTTGCCATAATATGTAGAAAGTGTATATTATGAAAGAAGCTACGCATGGGTTTCAGAAATTTTGTTTGCACTGAAACAAATGCATGCTTTTAGTTCCATTTTCTCCAAGACTTCCTGAAAAAGCCTCATATTTGCAAATCATATATCTGATGAGAAACTTCCAGAATATATGAAGAACTCTTACACAACGCATTCAGCAATAAAGTAAGGTCAAAGGATTTGGGTAAACATTTCTGCAAGTAAGATATATAAATGTCCAATAAACACATAAAAAGATGCTTGACATCATTAGCTATCAAAGAAATACAATTCAAACCCACAGTGAGATACCACTTTAAACCCACCTGTGTGGCTAAATTTAGAAAAACAGCAGATGCTGCAAAGGATGTGGAGGAGCTGGCCCTCTCGTATACTGCTGGTGGGACTGTACAATGGTGCAGTTGCTTGGTGGAAAGCAGCATTTCTTCAAATTTTAAACATAGGGTTACCGCGTGATCCAGGAATTTCACTCCCAGATAACTACCCAAAAGAAATGAAAGCTCATTAAAATATGTGTATGTGAATATTCTTAGAAGAATAATTCATGCTCCAAAGGCAAAAGCCACCCAAATACCCATCAACCAAAGAGTGGATAAGCAGAGTGTAAGGTAGCCATACAGTACATAATATCAGCGATACAGAGGAGGGAGGTACTAATGTGAAGCTGGATAGTACTGTTCCAAATAAAAGAAGCCAGTCACATCTCTCTCTATGTTATACTTTTCCATTTATGTGGAGTATCCATTCTGTTGTTTACATTGCATTATAATTCCATTATGCAAATCCAGAGGTAAGAATGTCAGTAGATGCCAGGGCTGGGGGAGGGGAAAATGAGGAGTGACATCTAATGGGCACGAGGTCTCTTTTGAAGTAATGAAAATATCTTTAAAATGAGACTGTGGCAATAGTTGTACAACTCACTGAATATACAAACTGTACACTTGAAGTGGAAGACTTTGATGGTATGTGAATTACATCTTAATAAAGTTCTTACAAAGGAAAAGAAAAAACGCCCTCTCTGACCAATAGTTCTACTTTTAGGAGTTTATCCCAAAGAAATAGGTTCATTCATTCCTCCAATATTTATTGAATGACACTGTTCTAGTGGGCATCTTTTGAACTACTGGGTATATAACAATGAATAAAATAAGTAATCAGATATTAGGGTTTGAAGTTTTTTTTTTAAGATTTATTTATTATTTGAAAGCATTACAGTGAAGGAGAGGCTGAGCAGAGAGAGATCGAGATCTTCCATCCACTGGTTCATTCCCCGAATGGCTGCAACAGCCAGGGCGGCTGAGCCAGGCCAAAGCCAGGAGACAGGGGTTTCATCCAGGTCTCCCATGTGGGTGCAGGGGCACAGGGACTTGGGCCATTTTTCCACTGCTTTCCCAGGTGCATTATCAGGGATCTGGATTGGAAGTGGAGCAGCTGAGACTCGAACTGGCGCCCATATGGGATGTCAGCACTGCAGGTGGAGGCTTTATCCACTAAGGCACAGTGCTGGCCCCAAGTGTGAAGATTTTTAAAGTGATATTCATAATGTGACTTTGGTAATATTGAAACACTAGAAACACCTGAGTGACCTGGTGGCAGCCAAATTCTGGCATGTAGAGGAATGTTGTAATCGCCATTTAAAACGTAAGTTTTCACAGAGCAGTCAGTGATGTGAGCAAACTGTGCTGTAACACAGTGTATAAAGTGCTGCCTGTGAAGCAGCACCCACTCATGTGAACGTAATGGTGTTGGGTTTGACTCCAGAGCCCACCTTCTGTTAATGTTCTCCTGGCTTCGAAATTTGCAGTAAGGTACATTATCGTTATAATCCTAAAAACTATCAGCATCTATCCCCTTGAGTTTCCATGAACATTAAGCCAAAGCACTGGACTGTTGCAGGCCTTTGAAATGCATGGTGTAGGTTTGTTTCCTTTGAAATTAAGAGAACCAAGCCATAGGGAAAATCCAGTTTGCTGCAGAGTAAAACATTTTTGTGTGTGTCAGCATGGGGATGGAATTGTCTGATTTCAAAGAAAATAGGAAAACTAACAGAAAAAGTATCTGCTCTTATTAGGATCTATTTTTCTTTCTTTGTGACATTATTTTTGTGTTCAGTTGGTTATGTCTTGCTTCTTTCAGTGTCAGTCAGGGGTTATCTCTCGCGAGTGTTTATTGTAACCAGGCATTCTCATGCACAATCGCCTTTTGTCCTTTTATCAGGCTCTTGCCAGTTCTGGCACCGTAGGTCACACAGCTGGGTCATGCCAGATTCAGGACTACAGTACAGGTACTGTGGTCTTCAGGGCTCCTGATCTCGGCCACTGCTCCATGCTGTTGTGAACCTGTGAGAACTGCAGAAGGAGCTGTCAGTCATTCTGGGATCAAGCCCACACTCAGACAGCATGAAGCAGTGTATGACCCTGTCCAGTGGGCATAGTATGGAGAAATAGGGAAGAATAAGATAAAGTACTGATTGTTGGAAGAAGATAGTAAATATCAAAGATTTTAAGGGAATATTGAAGATTATAAACTGCACTTGCTAATTCCAAGAATACATTGGTATATACCATTATTTGCTGCTTTTACTTTATATAAACACTTTTCATTTGCCTTTTAACCAAAAAATTTAAAATTTAAAATGTTGTCATCAAAAGGTAAATAAGCAGTTGGTATGTATATGATTAGTTTTTAGATTTGTGTTTCTTGAAGTTGTGTGTGTGTTTTCTGCATTATTTGCAAACTGAGATTTATCCAGCGTGTCACCATGGGGTAATCTCCCAATACAAGCTGTGTAACTATTTAATCTTTGGTCATTGCAGGCAACATGGCTGTATGGTATACAGATAGCAAGTTTACTCTTGGTCTGCATTCTCCAGTTTTTTAATTCCATGATTCTTGGATCATTGCTTATCAGTTTTAACCTTTCGGTGTTAATTGCAAGAAAACTTCAGGTAGGACATTCTTTTTGTCCTTAGTATTACTAAAAGTAGACTTCTTTTTTTAAATTGTATGGTTCATTGGACCTTATTTTTATGCAACATACAAAGGAGAATTTATGACCAAATTCCCACTAAAAACACAAGTAGCATCATTTGATTTGTTCTTTTTTTGTTTTTTTCAAGTGCATGTTATAACATTCCTGTTTGATGCTTTCTGAAGTCACAGGTCATCCTACTGTTTTGACATTTATTATTTCTTTATTTTGATGGCTGACATTTATTAAGCAATTGCTATTGATTATAAAATTGTGCTGATAGGTTTTGTTGATGGACATGCAACTACATTTTTATGGGGTACAACATAATGTTTTGGTTCATGAATACATAGTATAATGACCAAATCAGGGTAATTAGTATATCCATCAATATTTGTATTCATCATTTCTCTGAAATGAGAACATTAAAATGCTCTCTTTTACCTGTTTTAAAATATAAAATGCAGTATTGCTGACTGTAGTCACTCCACTGTGCAATAAAAGACCAGATCTTATTCCTCTTGTGACTACCTTTGTACGCCTGTTGACCAGCCTCTCCCCTCCCCACCCTGTGGTAGCCCCCATTCTACTCTCAACTTCTTTGTGATCTAATTATTTTTACCTTTCACATATGAGTGAGATCATGCAATACTTTTCTGCCTGGCTTATTTTAGTTAAGATAGTCTCCTGGTCCATCCATGTTGTCACAAATTACAGGATTTCATCCACTGTTGGCCAGATAGTATTCCATTATGTATATATGGCACATTCTCTGGATCTCGTAGGACTATGTTGAATAAAAGTAAATGTGAGTATCCTTGTCGTATTCCATATCTTAGAGGAAGAACTTCCAACGTTTCCCCATTCAATATGATAATTAGCTGAGGGTTTGCCATATGCAACCTTTATCATGTTGAGGTATGTTCCTATTATGCCTAATTTATAGAGAGTTTTTATCGTGAAAGTTTTTATCATCCATTGATGGACATTTAGGTTGGTTCCATATCTTGGCTGTTTTGACTAGAGCTGCAATAAACATGGGGATGCAGTTCTCTTTTCTATAGACTGATTTCCTGTCCTGTGGCTGTATGCCCAGTTGTGAGCTTACTAATTCTTCATTCCATTTTCTTGAGGAGCCTCCATACTGTTTTCCCCAGTAGCTGTCCTAATGGGCATTCCTGCCAACAGTTTCTGAGAGTTCCCCTTTCTCTACGTCACTGCCTGTGTGTGGAATTTTTTGCTTTTTAATAACAGCCATTATCCCTGGGGTTAGGTGATGTCTCCTTGTGCATTCACTTTGCATTTCTCTGATGATTAGTGCTATTGAGCACTTTTTAATCCATCTATTAGCCATTGGTATGTGTTTTTTTTTTCTTTTTATTTTTTATTTATCTTTACCTAGAAACCTTTTATTTAAGATAAACTTCATGCATTTCATATATACAAATTTAGGAACAGTGATTCTTCCCACCCTAACCTTCCCACCTGCACTCCCACCCTTCTTCCTCCTCTCTCTCCTCTTCCCATTCTTATTTTTTACTAAGATCTATTTTCAATTAACTTTCATTTTTATGTCTTTTTAAATGTATTTTTAATATATTTTGAAAGACAGAGACAGAGATCTTTCATCTGCAGATTTATTTCCCATGTGTGTGCAATAGCCAGGGCTGGGCCAGACTTAAACCAGGAGCCTGGAACTCATTCCAAGTCTCCCACCTGAGTAGCAGGGACTAAAGTACTTGAGCAATGGTGCACATTGGCAGGAAGCTAGCATCAGAAGTGGAGTCAGGATTCAAACCCTGGTATTCCTGGATGGGTTGCAGGAGTCCCAAGCAGCATTTGTTTTGTTTTGTTTTGTTTTGTTTTGTTTTGTTTTTAAGATTTATTTATTGTAAAGGCAGAGTTACAGAGAGGCAAAGTTAGAGAGAGATGTCTTCCATCCTGTGGTTTACTCTACAAATGGCTGCAACAGCTGAGGTGAGCTGATCCAAAGCCAGGAGCCAGGAACTTCTTCTGGGTCTCCCAAGTGGGTACAGGGGCCCAAGGACTTGGGCCATCTTCTACTGCTTTCCTAGGCCATAGAGAGAGCTGGATCAGAAGTGGAGCAGCCAGGACTCGAACCGGCACCCATATGGGATGCTGGCACTGCTGGCGGTAGCTTTACCCGCTATGCCACAGCGCCAGCCCCCAAGTAGCATCTTAACTGCTCTGCCAACTGCCTACCCTTATGTGTCTTATTTTGAGAAAAATCTGTTCTGGTCTTTAGTCTATTTTTTAATTGAATTATTTGAGTTTTTGGCCATCGAGTTGCTTGAGTTCCTCACCAACTCTGGAGAGATTGTCTCTTCACTGTTTTGCTCTGCAAAAGCTCTTTAGTTTGTTTTAATCCTATTTGTCTATTTGTGTGTTTTATTGCCTGTGATTTGAGATTTTATCTTTAAAAAAAGCTTTTCCCTGACCAGTACCTTGTAGCATTTACCCTAGGGTTTCTTCTAGTAGTTTCTGGTGGGTTAACCCACTGAGTTTCTGTGTAAGAGAGCATGTTGTCTGCAAACAAGGAGTTTGACTTCCTCCCTTCCAGTTTGGATGCGTTTTACCTCTTTCCGTTGACTAAGTGCTTTAGCTGCATCTCCTAGACTGTGTTGAATAAAAATGGTCAATGTGGGCATCCTTGTCTTATTCCTTATCTTAGAGGAAGAACTTTCAACTTTTCCCCATTCGGTATGATAATTAGCTGAGGGTTTGCCATATGCATTCTTTATTGTGTTGAGGTATGTTCTTATATTCCTAACTTGTAGAGAGTTTTTCTTGAAAGGATGTTGAATTTTATCAACTGCCTTTTCTGTATCTATGAGCTTATAATTTTTGTCTTTGATTCTGTTTCTGCGATGTATTATATTTATTGACTGGCATATGTTGAGCTATCTTTGCATCTCTAGGATGAATCCCACTTGATCAAAGTGAATGGTCTTTTTAATTTGCCATGTAACATGATTTGCAAATATTGCGTTGAGGATTTTTACATCTGTATTCCTTTTTTGTGTTCTTTCTCCAGTCTTGGCATCAGGGTGATGCTGACCTTGTAGAGTGAGTTTGGAAGAATTCTTTCCTCTTCAGTTTCTGGAGTAGTTTAAGAGTTGGTGTTAGTTCTTAAATGCTTGGTAGAAGGCAGCAGTGAAGCCATCTGGTCCAGGATGTTCTTTGAAGAGAGACTTTACTACCAATTCAGGCATGCTGCTTATTATATGTCTATCCAGGTTTTCTGTTTCTGAATTATGCAATTTTGGTAGGTTGTGTGTGTCCAGAAATTTATCTATTTCCCTAAATTTTTCAATGAATTGGTATACAGTTGTTCATAGTAGTCTTTTATGATGCTTTATATGTTCATGGTGCCAGTTATTATGTCTCCACTTTCATCTCTGATTATATTTCTTTTTTTTCTTAGTCTATCTAAAGATTTGTTGATTTTTTTTTTCTATTCAAAAACCAGCTCTTTGTTTTATTGACCTTTTGGGTTTGTTTTTTAAATCTTTTATTTGTTTCTACTCAGATATTTATTATTTCTTTCTATCTAACTTGGGGATTGTTTTTTTCTCTAGTTTCTTGAGATGCATCATTAGGTTGTTTGAGATCTTTCTCCTTTTCTGAAGTAGGTATTTATTGCTTCTCTCTTAGAACTGCTTTCATTTTCATTTGTCTTGATATTTTTTAATTTCTCCTTTAATTTCTTTATTGACCTATTGGTTCTTCAGGAGCTTGTTGTTTAATTTCCATATATTTATACAATTTCCAAAATTCTTCCTGTCGTTGATTTCTGGTTTTATTCCACTGTGGTCAGAAAAGATACTTGACATGAGGGTTTTTTTTTACTTTCATTGATGACTTTTGTGGCCTAACCTGTGATATATCTTAGAGAATGTTCCAAGTGTAGTTGAAAAGAAAGTATATTCTTCAGCTATTGGATGAAATGTTCTTTGAATGTCTCTGAGGTCCATTTGCTCTAGAATGCAGTTAAAATCCAGTGTTTCTTTGTTGGTTTTCTGTCTGGAGGAGAGGAGTTCATATCTCCTACTGTCACTATACTGCAGTGTCTCTCCTTTTAGATCTATTCATGTTCACTTTATGTATTTAGGTGTTCTGATTTGCATGCACACATTATATTTATAATTGATCTTGTTGTATCTCTTTAGAAGGGTGTAAGAACTTTATTTTTGTCTTTTTATAATGTTTGACTTTAAGTCTATTTTATCAGACATAAATATAGCTACTCCTGCTCTTTTTTGTCTCTATTGGTATGGGATTTCTTTTTCTGTCCACTCTCAGTCTGTGTATGTCCTTGTAAGTGAAGTGATTATCTCATAGGTAAGCATATACTTGGGTCTTATTTTTTCATCTGTTCAGCTACTCTGTGTCTTTTAATTGGAGAATTTAATCCATTCACATGCAAAGTAATTACTGATAGGCAAAGTCATAGTGTTGTGGAGTTGACCCCTGGCTAGGCTTGGTTCTGGTTCTTGTCTCTGCACAGGATTTCAGGTAGGAGACAAAGTTGTACAGGAAAGCAAGAGTTTTGTTAAGCAAAGGAATATTACATGCTCAGTATGTTAGTGTGGACAAGCAAGAGCGACAAAGAGAGTAAGTGAACAAAAAACACCAAGAAAAAAAAAAAAAAGGTTTGGGCCATCCTTTTTTACTGTCAGTAGGCATAGAGGGTAGTGTCTAGGGTGGGACTTAATTGACTATTCAGAAGGGCAGAGTTTGGGATGGGGTATGAATTCTGCCGATTTCCGTGCCCTTTTTGGAGATCTTGGACGTGTCATGGTGTCAGGTGCATGATGGGAGTGGGAGAGCTGGCCGTGGTAATTTTATTTTGATGACCTAAATGTCATCATGGAGACATAACCTGAAGCCATATTGAGTATTTCCAGATGGCACTAGTTCTAAGTTTGCAGCATTATCGAACTTGCAGTTTCTGCTGCATGGCAATGGGGGGCTTGGTACAGTGTAGGCAGTGCACAGAAATGGAGGTTTGGGTGGTGCAGACTCGTCGTGGGTAGCTGGGCTGGCTGCAGCCGACACACCTGCTAGCCAGGGCTTCTGCCTAGGCTGTTTGGAACTATCACATTGCAGACTGTGCGCCACACAGATAGGCTGGGGCGATTGAACCTCAGTTCCTCTTCTCTTAGCTGCTCACCTGCCCACATCATTAGTATTCCCATTTTTTTGTTTTGTTTTCTAGTTGTTTTGCAGATCCTCTGCTGCTTTTTTTTTTTTCTTCTGTCTTCCTTTGTGGTTAAGTGATTTTCTCTGGCAGTCTGCTTTGATTCCTTGCTTTTTATTTTTAGTGTATCTATTTGAGGTTTTTGCTTTGTGGTTACCATGAGGTTTACCTTGTTTTAGTTATAATGAATTATTTTAAAGCTGATAATGTTTATCACAGAGAAAGAAGAAAAACATTCTGCACTTTAACTCCAGTCTCCTCTGCATTTTGAACTTTCGATGTCACAGTTTACACCTTTTTATATTGTTTATCACTTAAGAAGTTATTGTAGCTGTTACTATTTTTGTCTTTTAACCTTCTAACTTAAGATATAAGTAGTTTATACCCTCCACGATTACAGTATTAGAGTATTCTGTTTTTTTCTGGATACTTGTTTACTTATAGGTTTTAAACCTTCCCAGGTTTTTGTATTACACACACGACTTCTCCTCCAGTGCCCAGAACTCCCTTTAGCATTTCTCTTAAGACAGGACACTGGTGGTAATGAATTCCCTCAGCCTTTGTTTGGGATGAAATTCATTATTTCTTAAAGAGTTGGAACCTTTATTTAATTCAATTATTAGGCAAAGCTGCCTGGTCAGATGTCATTGATTTAAAGTTGAAGTAAAGGGAACTGTGCTTTTCTGTGTGTGAACTCAAGATTGAGCAGAGCCTGCTGCCTGCAGGAGTGTGTGCGCAGCTCCAGCTGTGCACCTGCTGTTCTTGGATGCAGTGCCACTGTTCTTCCCCAGCCTTCCATACTGTTACTGAACATTCCCTCTGTTTTGAGTTAACGTCTTAAAACCTTCAGAAATAATTGCACATTTCCTAAGGTATTGTAAAGCCCTGTGAAAATACTGAACTGATCTTTTGGTTTTACTATATAATTACATTTCTTAAATTTACATGAGATTTGAGAGTTTGTTTCTCCTTAACATTGTCACAAAGCCCATTTTCTTTTGCACATGCTGTAAGTATTTCTGTCTTAAGCCATTGTGTTTTTTTCTTCGAGAAGAAATCCCTTTTTTAAAAGATTTATTTGTTTATTTATTCATTCATTCATTTGCCTGGTTTATGGTTTGAAAGACAAAGGGACAGAGAGACAGAGAAAGAATTTTATGCTGCTGGGCTGTTCTCTCTCTCTCTTTCTCTCTCTCTCTCTCTCTCTCTGTGTGTCAGACACACACACAGCACCTGCCCTTTATTAGTCTTTTGAGAGAGCAGTGCTGTGGACACACTGTAACAAAGATATTTTTGAAAACCAGGCTTTTAGTCGTCTATTAAGAACAACAGTTCTTATTCATCCTTTTAACCTTAGTTATAAATAAATACCTCTCAAACTTGGATGCTTTTGATGTTATATTGAGTAGGTATAGAAAGGGCACAGTTTACTTTTTGTGCTGATAGATCTTTTATTTGAATTATAGCTATGTCTGTGATCTGTGATGTAGTGGATAAACGCTATACTGATCTGCTCAGTTCGCACACCTCATACCTTCCAAGCGGTAGACCCCAATACCTGGTCACGAAGGTCTTTTTAGAAGCGCTGTGGCACAGTGTGTTAAGCTGCTGCTTGTGGCACCAGCATCCCATATGGGCGCCAGTTTGTGTCCTGGCTGCTCCACTTCTGATCCAGCTCCCTGCTAATGTGCCTGGGAAAGCAGTGGAGGATGGCTCAAGTGTTTGGGCCCCTGCACCCATGTGGGAGACCTGTAGGAAGCTCCAGGCTCCTGACTTTGGCCCAGCTCAGACATTTGCAACCATCTGGGGAGTAAACTATCGGATGGAGGATTTCTCTTTCTCACTCCCTCTCTCTTTCTGCCTCTGCCTCTCTGTAACTCTGCTTTTCTAATAAATAAATGAATCTTTAAAAAATAAATATAAAAGAAAAAGAGTAGGACACATTTCCTCATCTTATTGAGCTCAACATTAAGGGATTCATTTAATCCTGGAGAATTACTAATATTAAGACTAACGAATAGAAGGTTATGTTTTCCATATACGTATTTCCTGTATATTGTGTGATCCAGTGCTTAAAATCCTCAGGCAATTTCATTTTGTTTATGAAGTTATACAAAAAATTTAAGAATTAAAACAGCTCTTTTAATTTCTAGAAAAACCTGAAAACTGGAAGCTTCCTTAATAGGATTGGGAAACTTTTGTTACATTTATTTATAGTTTTATGCTTAACACTTTTTCTCAACAACATTATTAAGGTAAGTTAACAAATCGGCATTTTAATATATTAATTTTAAAATTTTTAATATGTTTTTAAACTTACTTAGAGCCTTGGAGATAGGTTTTGAAACTTTAAATTTTAAAGGAATTTTTGCTTTATACAGCACATAGCATTACTTAACAGTTACCAGTTTTGCTGAACAGGCTCAGTTTTAACTTTGTGTTGATAAAAAGGGTTAATCTGTTCATTTCATTCACTGATTTCTGTTGATTCTTCTTTAGTATGTTCTGCCTTGAACTCACCTTTTAAGTTCAACTTTTTAAGAGCTCAACTTTAGAAGCATCAAGTAAAGATATCACTAAATTTTGAATATTTTACTTCTAGAAATAGCTTTCCCGCTATGGTGCTAAAAAAGCAGATGGCATGGTTCTTGGGCTCAGTTGATGAGTAACTGGCCTTCCCATCTGATTTCTGCTGTGGAAAGCACCATGGTCATTCTCGGGAGTTCTTCAACATTTAACTGACCGAAGAGTGGTGCCCGTCCAGCAGAGTAACACTTGTGGTCACAGCTTATATATCCCATAGCTCTGCTGGAAGTGCCCTGCTGGAGAGTTTAGTTTGAACATGCTTTCTGATGTTTTCACTGGCTTTTTTTTTTCTTTTAAATAATAGACCTTCCTTAGGGTATATAGGTCTTGAACTGTGGAGTCCCATTTGTGTGTGTGTGTGTTTTTTGTTTTTTTTTTGTTTTGTTTTGTTTTGTTTTGTTTTTGACAGGCAAAGTGGACAGTGAGAGAGAGAGACAGAGAGAAAGGTCTTCCTTTTGCCATTGGTTCACCCTCCAATGGCCGCCGCGACCAGCGCACTGCGCTGATCCGAAGCTGGGAGCCAGGTGCTTCTCCTGGTCTCCCATGGGGTGCAGGGCCCAAGCACTTGGGCCATCCTCCACTGCACTCCCGGGCCACAGCAGAGAGCTGGCCTGGAAGAGGGGCAACCGGGACAGAATCCAGTGCCCCGACCGGGACTAGAACCCAGTGTGCCGGCGCCGCTAGGTGGAGGATTAGCCTATTGAGCCGCAGCGCCGGCCCCCATTTATTTTTATGCTGGAGCAAAACTACAACAAATTTTTCAGATGATTTTGCCCCTTCTGGAAGACTGGGGTCAGGATGGCAGTCATCGGCAAAGCAGACTCCTTCTCCCTAAGAGAGTGTCGGTCCCTGTTCTGATCATAGCCGTGGAAGCTGGGAAGACCCCTCCCTCAGCCAGCCACGCCTGCATTCTTACACTCTGTTCCCCTCAGTACTGACCTGAGACTAAGAGAGTGTCGGTCCCTGTTCTGATCATAGCCATCAAAGATGGGAAGACCCCTCCCTCAGCCAGCCACACCTGCATCCTTGCACTCCGTTCCCCTCTGTACAAACCTGTGCAGGGCCTCCTTCTGCCCACCTGACATTGTATTTCAGTGATCTGTTCTTGGGTTAAACCAGTGGAAGGCTGCTGTGTGGACCACCTATTTCTGACTCCACAAACAACATCTGTTGGATTTCATTTGATGTTTTGCCGGTGACCTGCCATGAGAGGAATTAGAAAAAATGAAATGCCTTACTGTTTTTACTGTAGCCACAGGAAACATTTCTTGAGTCCCAGTTCTAGAACTGAGGATATCCTCAGAGCCACTGGTTTGTTTGACTCTTACAACCCTATGAGTAACATAAATTCTTTTGTTTCCCTCTTTGCATTTGCTTGTGGAATGCATAAGAACAGATTTGTGGCCCATCTTTAATAAGCATATTTTGTGTATTAGCCTCAGTTCTGGCTTCATCTTTTTTTTTTTTTTTTGTCTTCATTTTCTTCCAATGTAATTTCTTTCCATGGCTGACCTAATGGATTGCTATAAGCTCTACATTTAAAATTGTATTAATTAAAATTATAATCACTACCGAGCACTGGCATTTGTTCACCTCTTAGAGGGCTACTGCTGCTGTCTTGAACTGTCTTTGAGTGAAACAGCCACCGGTTTTATCTGTAGACCCAAATCTCCAAAGCCAAACAAGGCTGAGGGGGCTCCATTCCCATTCCCATTTCAGGTCAGAGTAGTGTAGGTTTTCTCTCTGTCCCAGAAGCCAAAAAGGCTCATCTTTTACCTGTTTTGCATATTGAATAAATGCAGAAGAGCTTGAATAGAGGGTTGTGCTTTTAGAACGGGGATGAAGGAAGAGGGGATTTGAAAGTCCCTGCTTTAGAATTCTTCAGTCCTGAGCACTGCTGTGCACTTGTTCCCTGTACCCACACCCCTGAAACTGGACACTGAACGTACGTACTCAATGGGAAATTACCAGGAAACTGTGCCGAAGGCACTAATGGCTTTTTTTTTTCTCTCCCTTCTATAGAAAATCCTTAATCTGAGGTCAGATGAACATATATTTAAATTTCTGAAGGCAAAATTTGGGTTTGGAGCAACAAGGTATGACTGAATTGAACATCTGCTTGCTGTTGGATATTAAATCAGCAGGGATTTTAAAGCTTAAGTCGTCATTGTGCCTTCAACTATTAGTTGAAGACTCGTTTTGGGGGAAAATACAGTGTAGCTTCCACGCCTTGTGTGAATTTACGATTTTGCCTTCCCTGTGTTCCTAGGGATTTCGATGCAAATCTGTATCTGTGTGAAGAAGCCTTTGGCCTCCTGCCTTTGAATACATTCGAAAGGCTTTCCGATACTCTGCTTTTTTATGCCTACATATTTGTTCTGTCCATCACGGTGATTGCAGCATTGATTGTTGCCTTTCATAATCTCAGGTATGGCATATTTCAGAAATTTAACACCCACTTTAATGAACTTTTCATATGATGGAGATTTTTTTTGAAGCTGAAAAGCAAAATATCAAACACTGAGCGGAGAAGTGTTGTTTATCTGAGAGGGAAGACTCTGCTCTCAGTAGCTAAGAGACAGCCAAGAGCAGTGACCACCACACACACTTGTCTGGCTTAAGCATTGGCTTGTACTCTTGGCAACAATGTGATCTTTGAGCCAGTTGTGTTACCTTTTGGGATTTCCTTTTCCTTCTCTGTAGATTGAGAATCCTAAAAGTATTTATTCTAGCCTCTTCTGAGAAGTAAAAATAAATTGACCAACATAACATACTCACAAAAGGGTCTCATGCCTGGGATATTTTACAGATGTTAGCTGTCCTTAGCTAGTGTTGCTGTTGACCCTTGAGCTTCTATTTTGTTTCCATTAGGCCTTTCCTGTGGTTTTCTACCTTCCTCTAGCTGCCTTTTTTATATCTCATGATCAAGAGTTAATTAGTGTTCATTTGTTTTCTTGCATTTTGTTTCAGGGTCATAACATTGGAATGGACCATAAATATTACTATCTAATAAAAGTTTTAATTAATAACTCCCAATTTGTAAACCACATGTCTGCCAGTCTAGTTAAAAAAAAAAAAAATCAGAATAGAAAGGCTTTCTTAAAACTCGTAGAATGCCTACCCATCAAGCTGATGGGGTGTTTTGCATTTACTATCCATGTTAAATTGAAAGAAAATTAAGTGTAAGAAGTTGAAGCTACCATCATTTGTGAAAACTTAATGAAGCTCACAAGGAACCCCTTCTGTATCGGTTGCTTGCCAGTTAAGGTGCTGGTGAACCATGATTCACAGCCACGAGAGAGCTGTCGCTAAAATGAGTCCCAATCACTTGAGGTGTTTTATGATTATGAAGAATGAAGCAACACTGAACCATGAAAATATTTCACTGACTATAAACTATTTTAGTATCTTTCGGCAGTGTTCTTTTATACCTAAGCCAAGATAAAACTTAGGCCTGTGAAAATGGATGGAAATTACTCTAGACAGCATAATTTACTGGTGTTCCAGACGCCCCAGGTGTCGACAGCGCTCCGGAGTGCCTGGGAAGCAGGAAGCTCAGTTGGCCCGCGGTGTCTGTGTGAAGTCTCTGCCCTGCTCAGGGTGGTGAATCAGCCATCCCTGGAAGCTGACTTGTGTAGAATTAGAGGTAAAGATTTCAGAGCAGCTTCCTCACCAGGTAGGGGTATTAGGACTTCTTAGAGGAAATACACTACATTAAAGAACTGTAGTATCAAACTGTGAATTAAGTTTTAAGTAATTTGAAGGACATTTTGTTAGTGCCAAATATTTAAAGTATCTCTGCCTGTCTAGTACTCAGAAGGATGATACTGTTAGGTGCATACAACAGCATTAGTGTGAAGGATGAACTAATAGGAGTAACATGATTCATATTTGTGGGATTAATAAAAACCTCCTGTCTTGGCTGGGGAGGAGGGAGCTTCTGCAGGATCCTGCCAGGTGTCAAGGGGAGGCAAGAGCATGTGTGTCTGTCTGGAGTGATCTTGTAGTGTCAGTATAGAAGCCAGTGTTCAGGTTGTGATAGTTAACAGATAAGTAAGGGTTACTGCCAACGGTGAGAATTGCCTTTAGAGTATCATTTTACTTTCTTTGTGAATCTACAGTGATTGAAAGGAGGGTTTCTGAGAAATAGAAGTTCTCCAGTTACCCAGAGAAGCATCACACATACCCAGTCCTGTTGAGTGTATGAGGGATGAATAGATCCTTAGGAAAACATTCTTTTTCTCTTAAACTTGCAGCCCTTACTGTTTTATTTTCCCCTCCACAACAAATGATGCAGCATCTGAGCTCGCTCATCGGTCTTGTCACTAACATGGAGCCAGCCAGCCAGCATGTGCTTCCCAATGTGCTACCTTAGAGTAGATCAGATCCCCATGAACTGCTCTTGCAGAAAAAGAAAAATGAACTTGACTCTAAGCAACTTTGCAATCCAATTACAAGTTTACAAGAAGGACATGGAAGTGGAGGAGTGTGTTACCACCACTGTAAGGAGACAGCTGAATCCAGAAGGGGAACTACGGGTCAGGTGTTTATGTTCCCTCAAACTGTTCACGTCTTCTAACTTGGAGGGAATTTAAAGAGCTCCATGAATGCCACATCGTGTGCGAGCTGTGGACCTGGAGTCCGAGAGGCCACCCAGAGATCCCATGTGCTGCCAGCAGGGAACACAGCGTGCACTGGTGTTGGGGTCATGGAAGAATTCATGTCAGTTTTATTGGCTGTAATAACTTTAATGTAGCTGTCTTTTAATAAAAGTCATCTGTGGAACATACAGTTTGTAGAGATTATTGGTAAGTTAAAAGTTTGTGGTTCTTTGTAAAAAATTTGCAAATACTGATAATAACTTGTAAAACATCTTTAAAGATCTCTTAGGTGTCACTGATTTCAAAAGGATCTTTCGGCTATTTCTTAATTTAAAGAACTGAAACACTTACATGTAATGAAAATCTGAATTTTTATTATGCTAGTTACTAGTATATTGTGACACAAAGCCTCATAAATTCACTATGAAGGCTGCTTAATTTCATCTTAAGTAAATAATACATTCTTCAATAAGGCATAAATTTTCTTATATCTTCTTTTTAAAAGAGATTTAGCTGAATTAAGATTATTTATACAGCCGGCGCCGTGGCTCACTAGGCTAATCCTCCACCTTGTGGCGCCGGCACCCCGGGTTCTAGTCCCGGTCGGGGTGCCGGATTCTGTCCCGGTTGCCCCTCTTCCAGTCCAGCTCTCTGCTGTGGCCCGGGAGTGCAGTGGAGGATGGCCCAAGTGCTTGGGCCCTGCACCCCATGGGAGACCAGGAGAAGCACCTGGCTCCTGCCATCGGATCAGCGCGGTGCGCCGGCCACGGCAGCCATTGGAGGGTGAACCAACGGCAAAGGAAGACCTTTCTCTCTGTCTCTCTCTCTCACTGTCCACTCTGCCTGTCAAAAAAAAAAAAAAGATTATTTATACAGCTTTAATTTTATATGTTTGTATTTCAGTGATTCTACAAACCAGCAATCCATGGGTAAAACGGGAAAATGCACAGTGGACCTGAAACCAGAAACTGCATACAATTTAATCCATACCATTCTGTTTGGATTCTTGGCATTGAGTACAATGAGGTATTTTTGTCATATCCTTTTATTTGATTTACTTTTTAATTCCACCACTCTTTACTTGATATTAGTTAGCAGTAAAATTTGGAAACAATCATTTTCTTAAATATTATGGCCCCTATAAAATTGTCTTATACTATCTTCTCCAACTGAAAAATATTACCTGCAGTTAGTTTTTTTCCCCAGTTACAGATGTTCCTCTTTTTTTTTTTTTTTTAAGATTTTTATTTATTTATTCGAGAGGTAGAGTTACAGACAGTGAGAGAGACAGAGAGAAAGGTCTTCCGGTTCACTCCCCAAATGGCTGCCATGGCCAGAGCTGCCCCAGTCTGAAGCCAGGAGCTAGATGCTTCTTCCCAAGTGGGTGCAGAAGCCCGGGGACTTGGGCCATCTTTCACTGCTTTCCCAGGCCATAGCAGAGAGCTGGATTGGAAGAGGAGCAGCCGGGACTAGAACCGGTGCTCATTGGCATGCTATGGCGCTGGCCCCAGTTCCCCTATCTCTTACTTATGTGATAGATCCCAGTAGGCAGTGGAAGTAATAGTGAACCCTTTGATGAATGCTCTCTGTATGATGTTAAGTGAGGTTTCGTAAGGCTGGCTTTGCAGCGTTCCCGACACTGGGTTGATGCACTCTTGTCTCTGTCCTTGCAGAATGAAGTACCTCTGGACGTCACACATGTGTGTATTCGCCTCCTTTGGCTTGTGCAGCCCCGAGATATGGGAGTTACTTTTAAAGTCAGTCCATCTTTACAACCCAAAGAGGGTCAGTGCTATTCCTTTTTCTTCTAAATTAAAAAAAAAAAATTATTTATTTGAAAGGCAGAGTTAGAGTAAGAGATCTATCTTCTGCCTGCTGATTCACTCCCAAATGGGTGCAGTGGGTCAGGACTGAACCAGGCTGAAGCCAGGAGCCAGGAACTCTATCTAGGTCTCCCATGTGGATGCAGGGACCCAAGTACTTGGGACATGCTCCACTACTTTCCCACGCACTTTAGCAGGAGCTGGATTGGAATTGGAGCTGCTGGAACACAAACGTACTCATATGGGATGCCAGCATTGTAGGCAGTGACTTCACTGACTATTCACCAGCCCCTAATTTTTATGATTTTTAACATTTCTTGTACTAATTCTCTGGTTTTCCATAGTTAGTCATATATCAGTCTCAACAAAATGGATAGTAAAATTTGAAGCTAAAACTAGATAACTGATTCATTGAAATTTTATAAGGAATTATTTTTAAATAAGTTTTTAAAATAATTATTTTAAATAATTTAAATACTTAAATTATTTTATTTAAATTATTTTAAATATTTAAGTATTTAAATATTTACGATATTTTTAAATAAATATTTTTTAAATAACTTTAAAAATATTTTTATCTGGACCATAAATAAGATATGTTCCTTATACAGAATTTTAAAAGACAAGAAGGAAAATTAAAAATCACCCTTGGTCCATTTTTTTGGAATTACAACTTTCTATTATAATATGCTTTCCTAAAAATAATTGTTAATAAGTGCATGATAATGTTTAGTAGCTAAATGCAGTTTTGAGTTGTTCTGCCCTGTAGATTCACTAGGTGGCGATATGGTAGAAGCTACAAGTGTCTGTCAGTTGTTTTACACAGTGGAGACTCATGCTCCGCTAAATTGTATTTCTGTTGCTTAAAAAAGAAAGAGAGAGCCCTATGTTTATAAAGTGAAACCGTAAGCCAAAAGAGTTAAAAAATACTTGAAATCTAAATAATGTCTTTCTTACATATAGATATATATAATGCGATATTCAGTACCGATATTAATACTGCTGTATCTGTGCTATAAGGTAAGACCGCTTTTCCTCATTCTTGTCATTCATCTGTTTAGCAGAATAGCTGCTGTGATTCATGTATTTTGTGTATTATTTGGCAAAGAGAGTGGCTTGTGGAGTTTATGAACCTCTCTTTAGCTTCTTGTTGCAATTGACAGTGGAAAGAAAACTGATATGTTCCGCAAATAGTTTTTAAGTAAAAAGTCTATAACAGCAACGACTATTCAGTCATTCTAATTAGTTTTGGCTTTGACCTTTAATTTTCAGCTAATGAAAATTCTGAAAATACAGTGTTTTCATACCTACCTTGAAATAAATAAAGTAGGAAAATTATTGCCTCCATTACCCAATCTGTATAATCGTAAAGGAGATTTTAAAATGTGTCTTACTTTACTCTGTAGTTTATTAGATGTTATCTTTGTGAGAAAACTGCACACACATTAATACAGTCTAAGGTTAGGCCTTTTTGTCTGTTCTTCCACTTCCAGTGGGAAGTAACAGAGTCTTCGTATTCTCAGCTGACTGATTTCCAAAGCAGCATTAGCTGCTTCAGCTGAGACTGCTCCGTCAGGGACAGTGGTCACTGATCAAGTTGACTGATTTGTGACTTGTGTCATGTCTTTGAGATTTAGAGCCTGAGTTACCACCTGGGCAGGTAGCACAGATTGTTCTACCTGAGTGCTTGCTCTTTCTAAGAAAAAAAAATTTTTTAAGTTTGTTTTTTTTTTTTTAATCTGATTTTAAACTTGACCTTGAGAAGGCCCTGGTTTGGGAGGGGTTAGCCTATGAGGGCTAACAGAGCAAGGGTCAGGGTCAGCTGTAGCTGCTCAGCTTTTGGTTTCATTTGGGCATATTTTCATGTAAGATTTTGTGAATGGAAGGTTTTAGGTTAAAAAGAAATGTTTGGTAATGATCACATTGTAGATTTTTTTTTTAAAGATTTATTTATTTATTTGAAAGTCAGTTACACAGAGAGAGGAGAGGCAGAGACAGAGAGGTCTTCCATCTGCTGGGTCACTCCCCAGATTGCTGCAACGGCCAGAGCTGTGCCAATCCGAAGCCAGGAGCCAGGAGCTTCCTCTGGGTCTCCCATGTGGGTGCAGGGGCCCAAGCACTTGGGCCATCTTCTACTGCTTTCCCAGGCCATAGCAGAGAGCTGAATTGGAAGTGGAGCAGCTGGGACTAGAACTGGCGTCCATATGGGGTGCTAGTGCTTCAGGCCAGGGCATTAACCAGCTGAGCCATAGCGCCGGCCCCACATTGTAGATATTTCAAAAAATCATGTTGTATCCAAACAGTTACTTGTATAGCGCTCCCTGGTAACTCTCAGAGGTGGGAAAACATGGAAATTGATCTCTACCTCCCTGCAGCTGGGAATTGTGTTGCTCTAGTGTCATTTCAAAACAAAACTTCTGAAATCATCTGGAAAGCAACTTAGCTGTCAAAGGGTTATGTTTAGGAGCAAGGCACCCCTACACATTGGTTTTAAGGGCTCAGACACCCTCACAGGAAAGACAACTCTTCCATGTGAACTGCAACAGCCTTTGTCATCGTCTGTAGCTCTGGAGGCCGAGTTCTTTCATGTCTCAGCTGTTTATTGAAACTGCCTTGATTTTCTTGAAAGCTGTCTATCTTAGGACTTAGGTCTCTTTCCTGGATGAGAGTGAGGAAGACGCTGACCAAGAAGCAGACTGTGTAGTGCAGTATGGCCCCTGACCAGCAGCATTGGCATCCCCTGAGGGCCAGTTAGAGCCACACATTTAGGGCCTGCTCCAGGCCTGCCGAATCAGAAGCTCCAAAAACAGTGCAGACGTTCGGGTTAGAACCAGGCCTCCCAGGGATGTTGATGCCCCGTCAGGGTTAAGGCCCCCACTGTAGTGTGGACAGGGCGACACAGCACTGCCCTGTGGACATTTGACAGGGCGCTGCCCGGTGTGTAGCAGGATGTTTGGCAGCATCCCCACCTTCTACCCGGTAGATGCCAATAATACTGCCTGGTGCCACAGCCACGAAGTCTCCAGACATTGCCAGCCATCCCCCAGGGTCTGGGGCGGGGTGCTGTTGGGGTGGGGTTGAGAGGCACAGAAGCCCTCCCCTCATTCATTTTGAGAACGACTGCTGTAGAGATGGACCAGGGATAGCACTCAGGCCCATCAGGTCTAGGAAGTCCTTGTAGATTTTCCCTTCGTTGGGGAGTTCGTGTTTTAAAGAAACCTCCAAAGGATGGGACCCTCATCTGCCTCAGCGTAGCGTCGGGCTTCAGGAGAGACTCGAGTGTTTGCAGTTTTCACTACATAAAACAGTGCAAATCTCCTCAAAACCTGTGAAATAGAAAATTTCAGAGAAAATAAGGATGTCATGGGTATTAAGGGTTACCCTGAAACCAAATCTGCTTTTTAGCTATTCCAGTTCTTACTGATTTATATGTAAGTAAAGTGAATTCATTTCAAAGCCTGATTTGAGTTTTACATAGCATTTGTGATGGGAGTTTCCAGATTTCTTGTTCATAATGCCAATTTTGCTGTATCTCTCTTTAGGGTAATCCTATTAAAAAGGAAAAGCATGTACTGGTCTCCTCTCTGGAGTCAAGAGTTTAATGAAATTATTATTCTGGCCTTAATTCTTTGGATTGCTAAAATCCCACATACACTGCTGATTGCTTGAAAACAGCATTTAGTTAATCTAGCACTTACTTTCACATCATTTAAAGAGTTTGCCACAGCACTGTTAATAGGTTTTAACATTGTCAAAATTAATGCCAGCAACTTTCAAACTGTAAAAGTATCTAATATTCATTGAATTCACAGATTTCAAATGTTTTATCCTACAAGAATTAGAGCATTTTATTATAAAGCTGGTATTCTATTGATTTTTCAAATTCATAGGGGAAATGGACTATTGAAACATTACAAAGCTATCAGCTAATCAGAAATCTTTATTTGATCTCTTCCAAAAACTAGAACCAGAAGGGCTGCCACCTGAGTCCATCCCCAGCAGTTCTCTGATTCACCTGCCTAGGAAACAAGATGTGAAGGAGCAGTAAAAATCAGCCAGACATGAGTGGACAGGCTAGGAAAGTTGTCAGGCCAAATCCCAGCCACAAACCAGTCATTGTTACTTTGGTTCTGCTTAGTGGTTCGTCAATTAAATGATTGGATTTTCTACACCAGTGAAGCATGGGTACATTCTCATTGGTCTTGTGTGCCAGTAGGTGGAATGAATTCCACAGTGAACCTGGGATGTAGATAGTTGAACAGTTCAACTCTCATTTGATAGACTTGTTTAAGAATTAACTGTTGGATTACACAGAGTTAAGTTACGTTGGCTGAGTAGTGGACTCAGAGTAATTTTCATATTGTATCTCCGTGGCCTTAAGGAAGTCAAAGTGAGCAGGAAGGAGCAGTGTTGTGAACACAGTGATCAGAGCAGCAGCTATCAGGGAGTCCTGCTCTCAGAACTTCTTCTCCTGTTGTTCCGCAGTCACATTTATGTATGCCAAACCGTTTGACCAGATGTCTAGTGCAAAAAGTGTGATTGTGACGTTGTGTATTGAAAGGGGGGCTGGGTTTAGAGTCAGGTCTAGTTCCTAGTGCTGTGACCTGGCCAAGTTACCTCACTGTCTGAGCCGGCCTCTATAACTTGTAAAATGAGAAGCCAGTCCCCATGGCGCTGCCTGAGGACAGAATGAGATCCTGTGTTCAGAAGCATTTTTGCAGCTATAAAAATGGTACTGTCTCCTGTGGGGTACTTTCTGCATTTAAGGGTAGATTGCACAGTTTTAGCTAATTACACACCGTGGGCTTTCCAGTGGCTGGTACTCTTGTCAAAGCAGAGTCATGTTCTACTAGATATTAACCCCCATGCAATAGGATTTTTATTAGAGTAAAATAAAGCTCATTTTTAAAAGTTGACAACACCTCTAGTCCTAATTAGCTTCAGCTCAAGATAATTTCAGGAACTTTACTCAGAATTCTAGCCCATTGTGCTAGGAGAGTTGACCACAGAGTGAAGTAGTTTTACATTGCAGTTGCCATGTTTATTTAGCTCACAAGTTAAATGCAGTTTCTCTCTTTTGTTTTCATTTACTCTTAGTGATAGTTGTGGGTATAGGGGTGGATTTTGTTTTTGTTTTGTTTTTAATTTCAGTTCTGGCCAGGAATGATGGATGAACTCTCCGAGTTGAGAGAATTCTATGACCCAGATACAGTGGAGCTGATGAACTGGATTAAGTAAGAGGATTTTTTTTTTAATCTTTAAAATTTTAAGTGCCTTTTAAGAGTCACTGTAGACCTTACTTGTTTTTCGGGGGTTTTTTGTTTTTGTTTTTTCCTGAATCTAACTGTGAAGAAATATTCATTTTTATTGAATTTTTCTTTAACAAACTGTATTTGGAAATAACATTTCTATTCAAAAATAATTCTTTCCAACAACATCTCATGAAGAAAATACTCATTTAGAGATGCAAACAGGATCAGGGAATAGAATTTGGACAGAAATGGAAATAAAATGTTATTTAGCACCTGTGGTAAAGTTACTTACTCCCTCCCAATTTTATGTGTATTGTTTTCTTTTTAATGCCACTCACATTTTCTGTTAATGCTGACACTTGAAAGTCTTCTTTCCTTGTCAACTATTTTAAAATCACATTGGAAAGCACAGTTAACCAGAGACAGAAGAGCTGAGTGCAGATTTCACTTTAACTGATCATTGCCCAAGCCGAGGCCTAGAAAGTCTGAGATACAAAAACTGGAGCTTTCCCTTTGGTTAGTATCCTGTTGTTCTTATTTCTGCCTACACCCCCTTGCTGTGCCTCAGCATTCAGCATTGGAATGAGACTCACAAGTTCCAAAGCTTTGTTTGTGAAACCTGCCTCCCACCAGCAAAAATTAACTTTTCTACCCAAACAGCCCTCCCATGCCCTGCACTACTGTCTTTTCCTGCTTTACAGCCAAATAGCAGCAGTGTAATTATTTACGTGTAAATAGATGTTGCAAATCTTGGGCGACAGAATCTGGAAGCAGTGGCTGCATTGTCTCCATCCCTTAGAGTTTTAGTGGCCTTATTGGCACTTGTTTATGACTAATGTTTACTAACCAGTACAGTTTAGCACTGCTTGTGTAGTAAGAGATGGTAAATGTTTGATAGCGTAGGTCTCTTGAGTGCAATACACAAGATTTTATAGAGATTTATGTCTAAAATATATATGTGGCATTGGTCCCAATGTTGGACCCAGTTGGACAGAATGCAATGAGAATAATTTTTCACATATTTCCAGCACTGAGAATTGCTAAGCTGTGCTTTTTGTCTTTATTTATTTATTTAATTTTAAATCATGGCAGACAGTTATACAGAATAAATAATTCCTTCAGTATGTATTGTATATAGGAAAGTTACTCGTGTGAAGGAGAGCTAATTACTTTTGCATTAACCACAGTCAGCTGGAGATTTATGACAAGTGCACCTGCAGGGGAGGCGGGCATTTTCTGTTTTTAATATGATGCAAGTGTGCATATGACTGAAATTAATGCCGGGGGACCCCCACTTTCTGAGGGCATCCTGGAGGCAGCGGGTCCTCCAGATCTACCTGGATGCGCACTGCGAGCACCCACAGCCTTGAGCAGTTCACTGGAGTTGTGAAGAAGGGATTCTAGCAGACCGCAGGTTGTCCTCGGCTGCGGTGTCGTTGTTCCCGTGCTGTCCCTCAGAGGGAAGTACCAGGAGTGATGTGTCTGGCTGCGAAAGACTGCGGGTGAGAGATTATTCCACGTGTGAGGACGACAGTATGTTAGCCTGTGGCTCCTCTCTTGGGAAGGGGTCTTGGTTCCTCAGCTCCTCCTCCGACTCGGTTCCTTTTAGGCACTCCCCAAATTTCTTCCATTGTACTCTGGTCTCGCCTGTTTTCCCCTAAAGTTCTTCAGATGTAAATTGCCATTTTTGTAAAAATAGCTGCTAGGCATGTTTGTGAAATAAGCTTAAGTGATGATGAATGTATGCCAAAAGAGTGTCTATTTAGACACAAAATATGTTTGTTTAAATCAACATTTAAATCAGCTCTGGTCTGGCTCCGGTTCCAAACACAAGTGAATGCACTTAATACTCTTCTCACCCACCATGATTTCTTCTGTTTCTGAAACATGGAATACAACCCTCAACTTTGACTTTGCTGCTTTGATTGGTAGCACAGTGCGCATGCTGCTAGGGCGGTTGATCTGTGCCTGGGGAAAAGCTGAGGCGTGTGTCTGACAGCAGCCACGAGACCCCCACCGGGGACCCAGCACTGCCAGTTGGGACATCTCAGGTGTCTGCATCCTGCCCACTCTGCTCTCAGACAGCCAAAGTGCACATAGCCGTCTGTCTTCCGACCTAGTAGTCATGATGGCATCTGTTGGGACAGGGGTCGGGACAGGGGTCAGGGTGGGGACTGTACTGGAGAAGTAGTAACTGTGGGAACCCCAGGACAACTGTGATGTGAGGCACTGGAAGATTATCTGTCACTTCCCAGTCTCTGCTTCATGGACTTGATCAAACCTCACACCTGCATTAGGCAGCACGGTTGTACTCCAGGGACGCTGGGCTTCTGTTTGGAGATTCAGGCTTTCTACGTAGTCACCAAGGGCTTCTCTGCCTCCAGGGCAGATTGAAGGATGCCATAGCCTCAGCCAGAATTAGTGCTTTTCTTTCCCTGTTGTGGGCCCAGTGTGATCTTTTATAGGCCCGAGGGAGAAATCAAGGGCACCGCTTTAGGGTGGCAACATTAATCTGAGGTCATAGCCGTGGAATTTGAATTTCTGTGACAACGTTGAAGCTGTGTTATATGAAGCTGTTTACTTCTGAAGTCCTGTACTTTTTTTTGAAAGATTTATTTATTTGAAAGAAATTTATTTATTACAGAGAGAGAGAGGAGAGACAGAGAAGAGAGACAGAGAGAGAGATCTTCCATCTGCTGGTTCACTCCCCAAAGGGCCACAATGGCCACAGCTGGGCCAGGCCAAAGCCAGGAGCCAGGAGCTTCTTCTGGGTCTCCCACATGGATGCAGGGACCCAAGCACTTGGGCCATCTTCTGCAGCTTTCCCAGGTACATTAGCAGGGAGCTGGATTGGAAGTGGAGCAGCCAGGATTCGAACCAGTGCCCATATGGGATACTGGCACTGCACATGTCAGCGTAACCTGCTGCACCACAGCACCGGCCCCTGAAGTCCTGTACTTAATATAGTTCAATAGGTATTTATTGCATATATATTTATTGCATATTGTATATGTGGGGCACTATGTTAAACATGTAAACTTGTGGTAGCGAGCTAATGTAAGTGCCTCTTCATTAGCGTCAACATCGAGCCTCATCTCAGTTGCTGCTGGCTTCATTCTTTTCTTCTGTATTCTTGTCTCCAGTGGATTAAGATTTCCAGAGGCTTAACAGGTTTAGTGGGAAATTTTTTTAGGGTTCTAATTTTTTAGTCATACAAAATACTGTTTTCTGCCTTCCTTAAAGGCACAGAGATTTAAGTATAAAACCAAGGATTTTTAGGAATTAATTTTTTTCTTTTTTACAAGGACATTTTTGACTCTTCAATTAATGACATTTTGATCTACAAGAATATTTTGTTGAAATCAGGCTCCCAGGATGTGGTCGCCCCAGCTGCCCCTCCTGTGAGAAGCCAGGTGCCTCCCATGCTGCTGGCCCAGGCTTGCCAGGCTGCCTGCTTTGCACAGTGCACTGAGGTCCCGCGAGCCTCCCTGAGGTCATACCTCCCCTTTGCTGGTCATGTTTCCTGGAGTCAGAGGTCAGGACTCAGGTGTGTTTCCGTGGACTGCGCAGCACACTCTCAGGGCTGAGGTGTGATTGGAGAGCACACTGGCTCCGCGAGGCCAAGCGTGCCTACAGTCTGGTACACCCCTCATTCCCTTGTGTCCTCGAGCACTTCATTTTGGGTTCCTGAAAATTTTCTTTGACATTACGCGGTTAAAGCTAGGTCTGCGGATTCGAGTGTTTTGAGGTCTGATATTCTGACTCCTTGACGTCCAGGGATTTTTTTCACTAGAAGTAGCTTCCTCCAGGAGCAAAGCCACATGTGCAGCGTTTCCTCAGTGGGACTGAGAACCAATGTGCCAGATTTCTTTCACATTTCCTACTCAAGGCAGAAGGAATTATTGTATATTTAAAACATGATGGCAGCTAAGTTCAGACCTTCAATGCCTTTAAACCTCTTTTATAGTTAATGAATCATTTTGTAGCACTTGCATAATTGTGTATATTTTTGAAGTGTAGATAAAGCAAATGTTCACAAATAACATTATAATGCTCAGTTTACCCATTAGTTCAACAGTAATTAACTTGTTGAAGCTTAGAGCTTCAAAAATAAATGAGATTATTTGTCCAAAATGCCATCAGGTCTTCCTGGAATGACATTTAAATTATATAATGTAAATCCGTTTGACCTGTGAGTCCTTGTCATCCTTTAGTGACATTTCCTGCAGAATAAATTGTTTGCAGGTTGGGCAGCCTGCTATGGAGCTTGGCAGAGAGCTATGAAAACAAATTATCCTTTCATTTTATACATCATTTATTCAAACATTTGTAAAAATTGCTTTGTTTTCCCATAATAGAGAAGTGTCATTCAATGGTTAAAAGCACATTAGCCGCCTTAGAGACGGAGCCCAAGCTGTGGCGAAAGTGTCTGTGGAGGAAGAATGCCCAGCGTTCTGTCATTGTGCACCTTGGAAGCTAAGGACAGACTCCCTTCTCAGTTAGCCTGTGAAGTTCACTGCAGAAAGCATAACATACAGTTTATATAGGTTTTCCAGAGTTTAGAGAGATACATGACTGCTTTCCATTTTGTTCCACTTTGCTGTGGTTTTGTCTTTTGCATTTGCTTTGCTCTAGATTTAAATATTTAAAGTAGCAGTGTGATAGCCCAGATTCACCACGAGGCCAGGATGTAAAAGCAGGTCCAACAGAGTCGACGTCATCCGTGCTATCTGCGGAAGTCCACAATTTTCAAAGAAGTATTATTTCTAATTCATTTTACAGACGTTAAGGAACTCGGATTTTATTGCTTTCAAATTAAACCAGGAGTCTTAGTGAAAAGAGTATGTTAACAATCCAAAAGGTTATTGCACTAACACTTTAAACGGATTAGTATTTTTTTAAACTTTCCGAGTTTTTTGCTGAGAAGAAAAATTAATAAATTCCAGTTTTCCTAACTTTCTCTGAGCATTCACATGGCATAGCACCTCCCACCACCTGCCAGTGGCTCCACTGCTGGTGTTGGGGGTATGCCTGCCAAGGGGTTAGAGGTAGGAGCCCCTGAAGTGCTCTTGGAGTGTATTGAAGAGAGAGCATCCTAATGCCTGCTCTGTTCATTTCCAGAACAGCTAAAGGCCCACAGCAAGCATTAGTAAGATGCAATAGGCTCATTACTGGTGTATTTTGAAGGATTTGCCTATAACAGGAGCTGAGTCTGGCTGTTAACTGGTAAGCTTCTTGAAGACAGGTTATCCCACCATGTTTGCTCACCTAACATAGTAGTCCCTCCATAATATAACTTTGTAAGTCATATTTGTAACAGAACTTTGTAAGTCTCCCTGAGCAGCTCAGGACTTTGGACACTGAAGCCTTCATGACCCCTGCAGTCCATCGGGTGTTACACTTACAGCCCAGGAAGCAGGCTGCAGCCTTGGTCTGTGGCAGCGAACAGACAGCAAGGCCTTTCATCAGCCACTGCTGCTGTCATTGTAAAATGCACACTTTGAGCAGCTCTGTGCATCTTGGTGCTGATTCCTGTTGGGCATTCAAAGCAGCGATGCCAAGACGGGCTTGTGATTTGAATGGATGTTGTGTGCCCAGCTGCTGGGTTTGTCTTTTGTGTGGAAAGAGCAGCTTGGCATCTTAAAGCCGTAAAAAGACTCGAGCCAGGATCAGGCGCCCCGTGAGCTCCCACAGTGCCAGGCAGGGCAACCAGACTCATTTGCTGCCTACCTTCTAAATCTGTCCAAATATGTCTAGTTGAGAGGACCCAGAGACAGCCATTTTTTGGCACTAATGTGCGATATCACTGTATCATTTGTTACAGTGGAGTGCTTGGTGCCAGTTGGGAACATATAGGACAGTGACTTCGGGAAATGATGGCACTTTGTTTCATTCCCGTTTGTTCAGATTGACTCTCTTTAGCACCTAACAGTACACTGTAAATGATGGTAGCACAGTATATAAAGGCCCAGAGACAACGTTATTTGAATTAACAAAATTTCTATAAACTCTTCCACCAAGGAGCTCTGTGCACCTTCACATGTTTTCATGGAAACCCTGCTGTTTCTCTGACAAGGTGGGACCAATGTTAGATTTGTGGTAGAGGTGGTAATGTAAGAGGGACAGAGCAAACGTCTGTTCTTGTGCCCCTGGGCCTCATTGTCGGAATGACGCCAGCCTGGCAAGTGCAGCCACGCTCAGGCAGAGCCTTGCTCCACTGAGTCCACATCCCAGACCCGACCTGGGCAAGGGAGGGTGCAGGCCCCTGCGCTCTGTCATTCCGTCCACTCTGTTCCTCCCTTACAAAGGCTTGTTGGAACATGAGCAAACAAGAGTGTCATTGTAGAAGAGAACTTTGAATTTTTCAGAAGTCAATTCCTTGTAAGCATCACAGCTTAAATTGTCTGCTCATAGACATCCGGAGGCCTCCACTGAAGAGCGTTCGCACTGTGGCCTCACCGTCCAGTTGGAATGGCTAGAACGTCGCGGTGGGCTGCATGCACGTGGCGCGGCTTCTCAGGGTCCCCCGCACCAGAGCGAGTGCCTGCCTCGTTCTCCGCAGAGACAGGAAGGCAGCAGCCCCCGCTTTGTCTGCAGAGGGCGTTGGGTTTTGTTGCTCTCAGATGCAGTCGTCACAGCTGTCTGCGTCGTTTAGCTCAGCCCAGCAGAGTCCTCTTTCTGAACCCAAGGCTAAACACTTAATCTCACAATATTACCAATGGACCTAGCATTGAGGAGAATTACTGGAAGAGCTGTTGCATTCTCCATGCCAAAATAACACCTCCTGCAGGGCAATAAACTTGTGACTGGGATTCTTTTTTCCAGAGGGGGAGAAGGACAGATGCTTTGACTGCATTTTGGAAGCCTTTGGTTGGTTCTCCATCAAAGGCAGAGAATCCTACCTTAGTGGTAGCTGGAAAGTGAGACATGATTTGATACTAGGATGCCCTGTATTCCATAAACCACATGATACAGGTTTTCATGATCCAGGACTAAAGAAGAGGGATGTGTGAAGTATGTTTGTATATCAGAAATCCTGAGTGTCTCCATACTCAGTAGTAAGATACTTATTGTGGCAGCATCTTCTTTCCACGTTTTGTTTTGATTCTGTTTTCCTTTAAAGTCATTTATGGTGGTATCTGGTGGGGGTGGGGGGTCTGACCTAAACAAAAATCCTGGAATTAAGATCACCTGTAGTTTCTGGCTTTATCATTTGTTACACTTTACCCTGGGCACCATATTATCTTTTTCATGATCTTCTATTGACAGGCAGAGTGGACAGTGAGAGAGAGAGACAGAGAGAGAAAGGTCTTCCTTTGCCGTTGGTTCACCCTCCAATGGCCGCCGCTGCAGCCGGCGCACCGCGCTGATCCGATGGCAGGAGCCAGGAGCCAGGTGCTTTTCCTGGTCTCCCATGGGGTGCAGGGCCCAAGCACCTGGGCCATCCTCCACTGCACACCCTGGCCATAGCAGAGAGCTGGCCTGGAAGAGGGGCTACCGGGACAGAATCCGCCTGGGCACCCTTTTATTTACGTTTAATACAAAGAAGCAGCAGCAGTTTTTGACTCTTTCTGTTAGAATCTGTTCCTCCGTGGACAACAGTGAGAACGGATTGTGGGCTCAGCCTGGGAACCCTAGGGGCTGTGCTGCAGGCCTCCTAAGAAGTTCATTAGAGAAGCAGACCCATCACAGTCACTGCTATAGAAGCTTCCCGACTGCTGCTCTGGTGACCGATTGGAAACAGACACAAAAATGTTGTCAAGTAGTTTGCGTGCACATCAGGACCCGAGCAACCTCTTTGTTTTGTTTTGCAGCTCTTACTGTTCCCTAACGTGGCTGGGTAATTCTGAAAGGGAGATACTGTCTTTTTTGATGTCTTTGAGGAACCCTTAGTTGTGGGGTTAATTCAGTCTAAAATCTTTTAGATCTAACACCCCAAGAAAGGCTGTGTTTGCTGGAAGCATGCAGTTGCTGGCCGGAGTGAAGCTGTGCACGGGACGGACCTTGACCAACCACCCGCACTACGAGGACAACAGCCTGAGAGAGCGGACCAGAGCGGTGAGGGCCCCGGGCGCCTTTCCCCACTTCTCGTAGGCCGCTCTGAGTTTGGCAGAAATGGGCTTCATGCTTGTCACTGCACAGGGTTTGTGTCTCCTGCTTCTGGATTTCAGGCTGCCCCCACTAGTAAGGGCTTGCTGCTTACACCACACACCTTCCCCTGACTTCGAGAAAAAACAGAAGATAAACTAACTTTAGTTTAGTTTAGTTAGTTAGTTTAGTTAGTTTAGTTTAGTTAGTTTAGCAGACTAACTTTATAAAGAGAAGAGGTTTAGGGGCTGGCTCTGTGGCGCAGTAGGTTAATCTTCTGCCTGCGGCGCCGACATCCCATATGGGTACCAGTTTGACACCCGGCTGCTCCTCTTCCAACCCAGCTCCCTGCTGTGGCCTGGGAAAGCAGTAGAAGCCTTGAGATGTACAAAAGAGAGCATTTGGGAACCAGGCCTACAGAGCTGTTGACTGGAGAGGGAAGGAAAGGGAGTCAAGCCATACTGCTCACGTTTGTAATAGACCATTTCTAATATGCTCTGTTGTTAGATAACTATAGATAATATAGATAATTCAGGGCAGGCATCGTGACACAGCTGCAGCTTGGAGCACTGGTATCCCATATCTGAGTGTCACGTTTGAGTCCCAGCAACTCCGCTTCTGATGCAGCTACCTGCTAATGTGCCTGGGAAAGCAGCCCATGATGGCCCAACTGCTTGGGCCCCTGCCAACCAGGTGGGAAACCAGATGGAGTTCCTGACTCCTGGCTTTAGCCTTCAGTCTTCAACCTGGCCAGCCCCAACTGTTGTGTCCATTTGGGGAGCGAACCAGTAGATGGAAGAGCTCTTGCTTGCTTGCTCACCTCTGTCACTCTGTTTTTCAAATAAATGTCTTTTAAAAAAATAGATAATACAGCCACAAAGTTCAAATTAAGAACATGCAAAAAGGAATATAGTGAAAAGTGTCCTCCCCCAATCCTATATTATTCCAGCTACTGGTTTCCTCCCAAGAGACAGATAATTTTTTTTAAGTTTTATTTATTTATTTGAAAGAGTTACACAGAAGGAGAGGCAGAGAGAGAGAGAGAGAGAGATGTCTTTCATCCGCTGATTTACTCCCCAACTGGCCGCAATGGCCAGAGCTGCACTGATCAAGAGCCAGGAGCTTCTTCCAGGTCTTCCATGCAGGCACAGGGTCCCAAGGGCTTGGGCCACCTTCTACTGCTTTCCCAGGCCATAGCAGAGAGCTGGATCAGAAGTGGAGCAGCCGGGACTCCAACCAGCACCCACATGGGATGCCAGCACTGCAGGCGGCGGCTTTACCCTGCTACGCCACAGCGCCAGCCCCCACCTTTTGTTTTTAATAACAGAAGTCATAATGTATTAGTCTTTTTTTGTTGCCATAACTAAATCCCTGAGGCAGACTAACTTTATAAAGAGGTTTAGGGGCTGGCTCTGTGGCGCAGTAGGTTAATCTTCTGCCTGCGGCGCCGACATCCCATATGGGCACCGGTTTGACACCCGGCTGCTCCTCTTCCAACCCAGCTCCCTGCTGTGGCCTGGGAAAGCAGTAGAAAATAGCCAAGTGCTTGAGCCCCTGCACCCGCATGGCAGATTGGAAAGAAGCACCTGGCTCCTGGTTTTGGATTGGCACAGCTCTGGTCGTTGCGGCCATCTGGGGAGTGAACCAACAGACGGAAGACCTTTCTCTCTATCTCTCCCTTTCACCATCTGTAACTCTACCTCTCAAATAAATAAATCTTTAAAATAAAATAAAAGAAGAGGTGTAGAGGCTTGAAGTCCATATAGCGTGACTCTGGCCAAGGCCCCACTGTAGCTGACACAGCACATGTCAGAGGAGAAGCCATGTCTTGAAACAGGAAGCCAGCGAGAGTCGGGGTCAGACTCAGGCTTTTACAACAACCTGCTCTTGGGAAGCTCAGCTCCAGGAGACGGTGCTCCCTTCTGCGGCAGCCCCAGTGCGTGGTCTTCCCACCACCTTACCTCTACGGGGTTCCATGAGCTTTCATGACACCATGCTGAGGACCATGTTCCCCAGACAGGGAACTTTAGGGAACAGGCTTACATCCAGAACACAGAAAGGAACGTACTACAACATACTTAGTTTTTTTAGTTCATTTTATATCAGTACACTAATAGCATATTTGTTATTTTTAAAATGAGATTTTGTTTGAAAGGCAGAGTGATAGAGATCTGCCATGTGCTGCTTCACTTCCCAAACAGCCATGATGGGCCAGCGCCGCGGCTCACTAGGCTAATCCTCTACCTGCCGCACCGGCACACCGGGTTCTAGTCCTGGTCGGGGCGCTGGATTCTGTCCCGGTTGCCCCTCTTCCAGGCCAGCTCTCTGCTGTGGCCCGGGAGTGCAGTGGAGGATGGCCCAAGTCCTTGGGCCCTGCACCCCTTGGGAGACCAGGAGAAGCAGCTGGCTCTTGGCTTCGGATCAGCGCGGTGCGCCGGCCACAGCGCACTGGCCGCAGCAGCCATTGGAGGGTGAATCAATGGTAAAGGAAGACCTTTCTCTCTCTCTCTCTCTCTCTCACTGTCCACGCTGTCTGTCAAAAAAAAAAAAAAAAAAAAAGAGAGAGAGAGAGAGAAAACAGCCATGATGGCTGGGGCTGGGCCAGGCTGAAGCCAGGAGCCTGCAGTTTCATCCAGGTCTCCATGCGGGTGCAGGGGCCCAAGTAGTTGAGTCATCCTCTGCTGCTTTCCCAGGCACATTAGCAGGGAGCTGGACAGGAAGCAAAGCAGCCAAGATTCAAACTGGCACTGTGATACATGATGCTGCAATATTGCGCATTTGTTATTTTTATGTATTTTCATTTTATTCAAAAGATATAGAGGTTCCTCCATCCACTGGTTCACTCCCCAAATGCCTGTGATGGCCAGGAGCCCAGATCTGAGTCTAGGTCCCCCATGCGGTTTGCAGCGGCCCAGGCTGCCTTCCATGGTGCACATTAGCAGAAGCTGGATCAGAAGCAGAGGCGGAGCAGGTACTCTGAAGTTGATGTAGGTATCCCAAGTGGCATCTTAACTGCTATGCCAAGTCCCCCTCCCCTTCTTATTTCTAAAGCTTTATGATATTGTAGTGCGTTTTATTTAACTGTTCAGGCTATTTCCTGTCTATGCAATTCTATAGACGTACTCCAGATGTTAAACTTGTGTATCTGTCTGTAGCATTCTTTCTCAGCACAGTCTGTATCTGTGCTTCAGATTCCTGGGTGTGGAATCGCTGGGTGAGAGGGTGCAGGCATTTGTCTCAAGTCCCTCTGCACATGTCTTGTCAGTTCATGTTCTTGTTGCCATTGCAGGAGAGTAACTGTTCCCCTGCTCCTCTCCAGCAAGGTTTCAAACTTGTGAAGGTTTCATCTTGTCACTTCTTAATGCAGGTAGTTGAAAAGTTGTTGAGACAGTCTTTTTTGAGGTGGGGTTTGATGAGCCTTAAAGCAAATGATTTGTATCAAATACCCAGTAATTCATGAGAATGATGAGACCTGCTAAAATGTGGATTTTTTGATTGACCGACCCACGTGTCTCAGCTCTAACTACAAGGATCAAGGCAAGTGGTGACAGTGTCCCTGGCTCCCCAGGCACGAGGAGGTGGCCTGTGCTCCCTACAGAGAGCTGCAGATAGGACAGATCAAGTGCAGAGAGAGCCCTGTGCACCCCGCTCTCCGAGATTCAGTCCTGTCCAGGTCCCCACTGCTATGCCCTAACACTGACATCTCCGAGTCCTTGGAATGCTTTCAGTCTGAGGTCTTGTTGACTTCAGTTTCTGCAGGAGAAGCAGCTCACGTCCCTACCATATTACACTGAATTAGGTCCTCACACCCAGTCCCTTTCACAGGAGCCTGTCATTAGAAGTCAGGGGGCAGGCAAGGAAGCAGTACTTCATTCACCACACGCGTGTGTGCACGCTCTCCCCAGTGCGGGGTCCCGGAATGTGGGACACCCAGTGTCTGCATCTATCCAGGTGGAAGGTGCTGGTGCAGCAAGTTGCTCTTGCTGGAAGGAAGAATGAGAGGTAGAGATGAGGTCTCGGGTCTCCTGATCAGGGGAGCTGCAGCAGAGCAGCGATGAAGCAACCTGTGGTGCCCCAGCTCAGGACCAGGGCCCTACAGGGATCCGCTCCCCCATGACATTACCAGCAGTTGTGTCTCTCTCCCCAGACTGGACCATCACCCCTGTGGATCATTTTAGTCCGAGGAGGAGACTATGTCGTACTCAGTTTTCTTTTGAATTCATTAATTTCTTTGAGACACAGAGAAAGAGAACTCCTATCTGCTCGTTCATTCCCCACATGGCTGGGGCTGGGCTGGGATCAGAGCTGCAAGCCAGGAATGCAGTCCAGGTCTCGCATCTTGGTAGCAGGAGCCCAACCACTTGAGCGTCACCCAGGGTACGCACCCGTGGGAAACCGGAACCAGGAATGGAGCCGGAACCCAGAGCCAGGCTCTGGCTGAGGAGACGGGAGTCCCTGCTGCTTGGACAGATGCCCGCCCCTCAGCCGTGTGCCTGCCTGGGAGGAGCTTTCCTAGAACTGGCACTGACTGACGGTCGTGTCCGTAATTCTGAAGCCGCATGTATTCGGCATGCCCCACTCCTTCTCTTCCCAAGGCTAAGTAGTTGTTAGGTTCTTTTGGACACTGCCCTACATAGGCTCCAGGAATGCAGATGAGGGCGTACGACAGTGGCCTGGGCAGGGGAGGAGGACACCTGGGTGTTTTGGTTCAGTTCAGCCCATCTGGAGGTCCCACCGTACATGTTCCTGAATCCGCTGCCCAGCAGTTTAGAGCTATTTTGTCCTATACCATTTTTCTCTCTTTTTGCAGGTCTACCAGATATATGCAAAGAGGTCCCCAGAGGAAGTGCACGCCCTCCTGAGGTCCTTCGGCACTGACTACGTAATCCTGGAAGACAGCATCTGCTATGAGCGAAGGCACCACCGGGGCTGCCGGCTCCGGGACCTGCTGGATGTCGCCAACGGACACGTGAGCGTGACCTCTTGCTCTGGGCGGGTGGGCTTCCTGCTGGGCTCCTAAGTCACCTTTTCATACTTTACAAGAATCCGATTACGAATCGAGTGTTCACTCTCTCTCAGAGTCTGCAGAACTCTGTACCTTTGCACCTTAACACTTTATTTCAGAGTAGTTTTAAGTTTACAAAATGCAATCACGTGGTATAATACAGAGTTCCCATACAGCCCTCACCCCATTTTCCCTATTAACATCTCATACCAGTATCTGTCACAATTAAAAAACCACACTCAGCCTCCTCCATTTTATTCTTTATCCAAAAACGTTCTGTCCCTCCCAACCGCTCCAGCCTCTAGTAGTCAACATTCTGTGTTCAGATTGAGGGTTTGTTTAGTTTTTGTTTGTTTGTTTAATTTTAGCTCCCACATGTAGGAGAGAACATGAGTAAATTTCTTTCTGGTTTATTTCACTTGCTGCAAATGGTGGAATCTCACTCTTCCTTATAGCTGAATAATACTCCCTTTGTGTATGTATCCCAGTTGCTTCATCCGTTCACCTGGCAGTGGACACCTTGGTTGATTCCGTCTTGTGACTGCTGTGAGCAGTGCTGCTATCCACTCAGTAGAGCAGCTGTCTCCTGCACACAGCATGTTCTTGTTTTCCGGGGGTACACCCACTTAGTGGGATTGCTGGATCAGGCGGCAGCTCTACTAATAGTTACTAAGGAATCTCCGTGCTGTTTCCCATGGCTGCACTAATTTACATTCCCACCAGCAGTGTGTGAAGGCTCCCCCTTCTCTACAACTTCGCCAGCCCTTGTTGCTTTGGTTTTGATAATAGCAGTTCTGACAGGGATGAGTGATATCTCAGTGTGGTTTTGATATGTGTTTTCCTTATGGCTAGTGATTCTGAGCCTTGTTTCATACATTTGTTGGCCATTGTATTTTTTTTTTTTTTTTTTTTTTGAGACCTGTCTGTCCAAGTCCTCTGCCCATTTCTTAACTGGAGTGGTTGCTCCTGTTGAATATTTTGATTATTGACATATTCTGGACATTAATATTAAGTAGCTTGAAAATATTTTCTCCTATTGTGTTAGACATCTGCTGTTGTCTTTTGGTGTACAGAAGCTTCTGAGTTTGATATAATCCCATTTATCTAGCTGTGCATTTTTTTTTTTTAAAGAATTTAGAGATAGAGACAGAGAGAGGTTTTCCATCCTCTGGTTCACTCCCCAAATAACCGCAGTGGCTGGAACTGAGCTAATCTGAAGCCAGGAGATAGGAGTTTCTTCCAGATCTCCCATGTGGGTGCACGAGCCCAAATACTTGGGCCTGCACATTAGCAGGGAGCTGGATCAGAAGTGGAGCAGCCTGGACTCGACTGGTGCCCATGTGTGATGCCAGTGCTGCAGGCTGGGCTTTAACCTGCTGCACCACAGTGCCAGCCCCACTTTTTTTTTTTTTTAAGCTTATTTTATTTATTTTTTTATTTGAAAGGCAGAGAGAAGAGGAGGGGAGAGGAAAGAGATATCTTCCATACCCTGGTTCACTCCCCTACATGGCCACAGTGGCTGGGTCTGGTTCAGGCTGAAGCCAGGAGCCTGGAACTCCACCCAAGTCTCCATGTGGACGGAGGGGCCCAGGTACTTGGGCTCTCATCCACTGCTTTCCTAGGCTCATTAGCCGGGAGCGGTTTCAGAAGCACAGCAGCCAGCACTCCCATTTGCAGTGCTGCAGTCACAGGCAGCAGCCTAACGCGCACCACCTCCAGCCCCTTCGATCCGTGCGTCTAGTGCCTTATCCGAGAATCATCACCTACACTGACGTCTCGAAGTATTTCCCCTATGGTTTCTTCTACACATTTCATAGTTGCTGGCCTCACATTTAGATATTTGATCTGTCTTGGGTTGATTTTTGTATATAGTGAGAGGTCGGGATCTAATTTCATTCTTCTACTTATATATGTCCAGTTTTTCCAGCACTATTTGTTGAAGACTATGCTTTGTCCAGTGTGTTCTTGGCACCTTTGGCAAAATCAGTTGGCTCTATATATGTTGATTAATTTCAGATTTCTGTATTCTGTTAATCTGCACTGGATTTTGTGCCAGTATCATGGTGGTGTTTTGTTTTTGTTTTTTTTTTTTTTTTTGATAGGCAGAGTGGACAGTGAGAGAGAGAGACAGAGAGAAAGGTCTTCCCTTGCCGTTGGTTCACCCTCCAATGGCCGCCGCTGCAGCCGGCGCACCGCGCTGATCCGATGGCAGGAGCCAGGATCCAGGTGCTTTTTCCTGGTCTCCCATGGGGTGCAGGGCCCAAGCACCTGGGCCATCCTCCACTGCACTCCCTGGCCATAGCAGAGAGCTGGCCTGGAAGAGGGGCAACCGGGACAGAATCCGGCGCCCCGACTGGGACTAGAACCCGGTGTGCCGGCGCCGCAAGGTGGAGGATTAGCCTATTGAGCCACGGCGCCAGCTCTTTTTTTTTTTCTTTTAAAGATTTACTTATCTATTTGAAAGAGTTAAATGGGAAGAGAGGGAGGGAAGGTGGGAGGGAAGGAGAGAGAGAGAGGAAGGGAAGGAGGAAGAGAGAGAGAGAAAGAGGGAGGGAGGGAGGAAGAGAGAGGGAGGAAGGGAGACAGGGAGGAGGAGAGGGGGAGGGAGAAAGAGAGAGAGAAGAAGTATTCCATCAGCTGATTCACTCCCCAAATGGCCAAAATGGCCACAGCTGGGCCAGGCCAAAGCCAGGAGTCAGGAGCTTCATTTGGGACTCCCATGGGGGTGCAGGGGCAGAAGCACTTGGGCCATCTTCCACTGCTTTCCCAGGCACATTAGCAGGGAGCTGGACTGAAAGTGGAGCAGCCAAGTTTCTAATCAGCACCCATTTGGAATGCTAGTGGCATCAGTGTCTACGTCTCAAGCTGCATCCTCATCTGCTATGCCACAGCTCCAGCCCCATAGTGTTATAATTGCTATAGCTTTGTAGTATTTTTTTTTAGAAAAAGATTTATTTATTTACTTGAAAGTCAGAGTTACACAGAGAGAGAAAGAGAGGCTGAGAGAGAGAGAGAGAGAGAGAGAGAGAAAGAGGTCTTCCATCCGTTGATTCACTCCCCAAATGGCTGCAATGGCCAGAGCTGGGCTGATCCGAAGCCAGGAGCTTCCAGGTCTCCCACACAGGTGCAGGGGCCCGAGGACTTGGGCCATCTTCCACTGCTTTCCCAGGCGATAGCAGAGAGCTGGATCAGAAGTGGAGCAGCTGGGACTCGAACCAGCACCCATATAGGATGCTGGCACTGCAGGCGGCAGCTTTACCTGCTATACCACAGCGCTGGCACCTGTAGTGTTCTTTGTAATCAGGTATTATGATGCCTGCAGCTTGATTTCCCCCCCTCCTCCCATCACTTTGGCTATTCTGGGTCTTTTGAATTTTAAGATTTTTCCAAAAAAATTCTGTAAACAGTGTCCTTAGTACTTTGCTAGAATTGCATTGAACATGTAGACTGCTTAGTGTCGTATAGACATTTTAACAATATTCTTCACAATCCACAAGCAAAGAGTATCTTTCCATTTTTTGTTTCATCACTATTTTACAATTTTCATTGTAGAAATCCTTCTTAAATTTATTCTATACAAATATTTGATTTTTTTGCAGCTATTGTTAATGGGATTTCTTTTCTGATTTATCTTTCAGCAAGACCATTGTTAGTGGATGAAAATACTACTTTTTGTCTATTGATTTTTTTTATCCTGCAACTTTACTGAATTGGTTTATCAGTTCTAACAGTTTTTTGGTGGAGTATTTAGGGTTTTTCTTGTTGCAACATTATGCCACCAACAAACATGGATATTTTGACTTTCTCCTTTCCAGTTTCAATGCCCTTTTTCTCCTGCCTAATTACTCTTGCTAATGCTTCCAGTACTGTATTGAATGTGAGTATGAAAGTGGATAGCCCTGTCTTATTCCAGATCTGAGGGGGAAAGCTGAAAGCATTTCCCCATTCAGTATGAGATTAGCATTGGTTTGTCATAGATCACCTAATTTTGAGGTATCGTTCTTCTATACCTAATTCATTGAAGGTTTGTATCAAGAAGGGATGTTTAATCTCAGTGAATACTTTCTCTGCATGCATTGAGATGATCTTACAGTTTTTGTTCTTCATTCTCTTGATATTATTTATGACATTTATTGAATTGCAAATGTTGAACCATCCTTGCATATCAGGGATAAATCCCACTTGATTGTGATGCATGATCATTTGTGATGTAATGCTGGGTTTGACTTGCTAATGTTTTTGCATCTATGTTCATCAAGGATATAGGTCAAAAGTTTTCTTTCTGTGTTGTATTTTTGGTTTTGGTACCTTTGGTATCAGTGATTCTGACCTCCTAAAGAGTTTGTCAGAGGCCAGCGCCGCGGCTCACTAGGCTAATCCTCCGCCTTGCGGCGCCGGCACCCCAGGTTCTAGTCCAGGTTGGGGCGCCGGATTCTGTCCCAGTTGCCCCTCTTCCAGGCCAGCTCTCTGATGTGGCCAGGGAGTGCAGTGGAGGATGGGCCAAGTGCTTGGGCCCTGCACCCCATGGGAGACCAGAAGCACCTGGCTCCTGCCATCGGATTAGCGTGGTGTGCCGGCTGCTGCGGCCATTGGAGGGTGAACCAACGGCAAAGGAAGACCTTTCTCTCTGTCTCTCTCTCTCTCACTGTCCACTCTGCCTGTCAAAAAAATAAAAAATAAAAAAAAAAAGAGTTTGTCAGAGTTCCATCTTTTTCAGTATTTTGGAATAGATTGAAAAATCTTGAGAGTTGGTTTTCCTTTAAATGTCTTTTTTTTTAAAAGCCATCAGTTCCTGAACTTTGATGGAAGACTTTCAATTTTTGATTCAATCTTGTTGCTTATTAAGGACCTATTTAGATTTTGTCTTACTGGTTTACCCTTTGTAGGTTATATATATCCAGTTTATTTTTTCATGTTTTTCTAAATTGTTAGCATGTGGTTGTTCATAATAGTTTCTTCTGATCCTTTTTATTTCTGTGGTTTTAACTGTAATATCTCCTTTTTCATCTCTAATTTTGAGGGTTTTTTTTTGTTAGTTTGGCTAAAGGCTTATTAATTTTCTTTAAAAAATCCAGTTCCCTATTTTGTTAAACTGTCATATTTAAGTTTCAATTTAATTTATTTCTATTCTGATTCTTATTTCTTACCTCCTGCTAATTTGGACTTTAACCCCAAATTCTTTTTTTTCTATGTCTGAAATGAATCACTAGATAGGTTATTTAAGAGCTTCCTATTTTTTTCTAATATAAGCACTTATTATAAACTTCTCTCTTAATATTGCTTTTGCTGTATTCTACAGGTTTTAATATGTTTTCATTTTCACTTGTCTCAAGCAAGTTTATTTCCTTTTTGATTTCTTCAATGACCCCTTGGTCATTCAGTAGCATGTTGTTTAATTTCCATATATTCCTGAGTTTTTGTTCTTGTTGTTGGTTTCTAGTTTTTTGCTTTTGTGATCTGAGATGATACATGGTATGATTTCAGTGTGTTGAAATTGACTGAGACTTGATTCGTGGCCTAATATATAGTCTGTCCTAGAAGATATTCCATGTGCTGACGAGAAGAATGTATATTCTGTAGCTGTTGGGTGAAATGTTCTGTAAATTGCTCAGTGGTGTGGTTTACCTCTGAAGTGTCTTTGTTGAGTTTCTCTGGATGATTGATGACAGTGGAGTGGTGAAGTCCCCACTAGTATTGTGTTAAAGTCTGTGTCTCCCTTTAGGTCTGTTTGCTGTATATATCTAGGTGATCTTGTGTTGGGTAATTTATGATTGTTTTATCTTCTTACTCAATAGATTCTTTATCAATATATAATGTCCTTCTTTGTCTCTTTTTGTAGTTTTTGATTTAAAGTAGGTTTTGTCTGATGTGACTGTAGCTATTCCCAGTTGGTTTTGGTTTTCATCTGCAACAGTATATCTTTTTCTAGCCCTTCAGTTTGTGGGTATCTTTTTTGTGAAATGATTTTTTTTTAAGTTTTACTTATTTAAAAGGTAGAGTAATAATGAGAGAGTGAGAGATCTTCCATCCGCTGGTTTACTCCCCAAATGGCTGCAACAGCCAGGGCTGTTCCGATCCAAAGCCAGGAGCTTCTTCCAGGTTTCCCATGTAGGTGCAGGGGCCCAAGGACTTGGGCCATCTTCCACTGCTTTCCTAGGTGCATTAGCGTGGAGCTGGATCGGAATTGGAGCAGCCGGGACTCAAACCAGTGCCCACATGGGATGCCAAAACTGCTTTACCCACTATACCATACTGCTGGCCCTGAAGTGAGTTTCTTGTAGGCAGCATATAGTTGGGTCTTATTTTCTTTTTAATCCAAAAGAAATTGCCAACCTATATTTTTTGACTGGGGAATTTAATCCATTTACATTCAAGGTTAGTAACAATAAATAAGAACTTTCAAAATACTTTGCTTCTCCTTCACTTCTAAAGCATATCTGTCTTTGCTGGATATAGTATTCTTGGTTTTGTTTGTTTTTTCTTGCAAGACCTTGAATAGATCATTCTACTCTCTTATGGCCTGAAGGGTTTCTGCTGAGAAGTCTGATCTTAATCTGATTCATTTCCCTTTATGTGTAATTTGATGTTTTTCTCTGTCTTGAGTATCTCCTTTTCCTTAACTTTGACAGTTTAACTATAATGTGCCCTGGAGGAGATGTTTTTTGGTTGAATCTTTTTGGGGTCCTCTGGGCTTCCTTTTTCAGATGTACATATTTCTGTCAAGACTTGGGAAGTTTGAACTGTTACTTCATTCAGTAGGTCTTCAGTGCCCTTTTCCTTCTCCGTCAGGTGTCTCTATAATACAAATATTTGTCCTCTTAATGACAGCCCATGTGTCGCAAAGGCTGTCTGCATGCTTTTTCATTCTTTTTCTTTTTGTCTGACTGGGTTATTTCCAAATTCTTTCCTCCACTTGGTCTGTTCTGTTGTTGAAGCTCCCTCAGCTGTACCTTTTATTTTGTTGATGGACGTTTTCAGAGCCAGAATTTGGCTCTTGTAAGTGATTTCTGTCTCTACTGGATTTCTCATATCATCTGTTGTTTTCCTCACGTCTTTATATTCCCTGCATCTCATGGAGTTCCCTTGGGATCATTACTGTGAATATTTTCCAGGCATGTCGTAGATTTCCTTCCTGTTAGGATCTAGGATCTATGTCTGGAAACTGTTGTGTTCCTTTGCTTCTTCCTGTTTGCTGTCTCCCTACATTGACATTTGTGCATCTGGTGTAATAGTTTATTTTCCTTTTAATGGACTAGGTTCTGCTGGAAAAGTTGTTTAGCTTGAATATGAACTGACACCTGGGTTGTTGATTAGTCTTTGGTTCTAGGGGAGCCCAGAAATGTAACCTCTGAGTAATTTCTACAGTGCTAATCTGAGTCAGCAGTGTCTGCAGTAGTTTGTGGAGGCAGTGGTGTGACTTTGCAGTGGATGTGAGCTTCCGAACGTGTGTGTCTTTAGTCCCCCGAGGGCTGGGTGTCAGTCACACTAGGGTTTTGGTTCTGTAACCGTGTTTCTGGTGCTCTGGGGCAGAGAGAGAAGTCCCCTTGTCCCAGCAGGCAAGCATGAGAGGTGCCAGGGCTGCTGGCACCCGTGGCTCGGCCCTTGGACTGTATGATACGGATAGGAGCTTCTCCAGCCCTGCTGTGCGGGCGTGGCTAATGCTGGGGCTCGGGGCTTCTTAGAATAACGAGATCCCTAGTCCCAGCATTGGGGAATGCTAAGGGAACCTTATGCCAGCCCCACAGAGTGAATACAGGTTATACCGATGATAGTGCACCGGCAGGTGTGGGTCTGGAGATCTGAAATGCAAGTAGGTTTTTTCCTAGGTCCTTCAGGCAATGTTCCAGTGACTGGGGAATGTAGTGCTAACAGTCACAGTCCTGGATCTGCAGGATACAGTGGGGTCCTTGTCCACGTCACACACTGTTAGTGCCAGTTATGTTGGAGATTGTGGAGTGGCAGTCACCAGCTTGAGGCAGAGAGATGTAGGCAGATCCTTCTGGATACCACAGGTAAGTGCAAGGTCCTGCAGGGGTTATAGCACCAGCAGCAGCAGGTACTGGTTCCAGAGTAGAGGGAACTGACCCCAGTTTCCACAGGGCATGCAGGGTGATGCTAGGGTTTATGTTCTGGCCCCGCGTACCCTGTTTGAACAGCAGAAGGAGAGTATGTATAGCCTGCTGCTGGCAGGCAGCCCCAAGAAGCCTTGGGGAGCTTCATGAGGGCACAGGTTGGCAAGTGTAGCCCTCGGGCTTGTGCCCAGAACTCTTGCAGCTGCAGGGTTCCAGGGGCCGGCTGTCTTCCCTGGCAAGTGCCTTTATGTCTCTGAGGACTTGTGGTAGCAACGCAGCTGCTTGCTTCCTCCTAAGATAGGTGTTTACCACCTGCTCACATGACTTCCTTCATTGTTCTGGAACTTTCTGGCTGAGGTGGGTGCAGGTCCTTTCTCTTCGCCATCCTAATGGTCTCCCCGCTTCCTTCCCATTTTCACTTTAGTGACCACCACAGGGGCTGGAGAAGAATGGGGGCGCTCCAGGTCCCCAGATTCACATCAAGCAGAGCAGCCCTGCCTCTGGCTAGTTGTATGATGGGGCTCTGCCTAAAGTTTATTTTTAAAAAAGATTTTGCTGCTAAAAACAAAATCTCAGAGTGTTCTGTGTCATCCCTGAGCGACCGTCAGCAGGGCCACCGTCCCCTCCAAGGTGCGGTGGTAGATTCCTGCTGCCTCTCGGTGCACACGACCCCCAAGGTGGCTTTCTGCAGCCAAGCCTGCACTCCAGATCAGAACAGCAGTGCCGTCTCCTCTCTTCTCAGGAGTAGATCTTGGATCTGTGCCAGGTCTCAAATAGAGCAAAAAGATCTTCACACTTTAGAGGTGTGCCAGTGTTGAAATGACAGATATTTGTGAGTTAAAGGGACAAAATGACCAACCTAGCCTGAATCCTGGGGTGGGGGAGGTTTGACTGTACAGGATTTGAGATGCATAACTGTCCTCTGCACCTGCCTTGTAGACGATGGACGGCCCAGGAGAGAACGATCCCGACCTGAAACCCGCGGACCACCCTCGCTTCTGTGAGGAGATCAAAAGGAACCTGCCCTCCTATGTGGCCCACTTCACCCGAGTGTTCCAGAACAAGACCTTCCACGTCTACAAGCTGTCCAGAAATAAGTAGCAGGTTTTGGTGCAGCGAGACCGCGTCGTAATCAAACTCAGTAGGTGACGTGTCCTCTGTAATAGGCTGCCGCACCTTAAAGCTGTGATGCGTGAGTTCTGCATATGTTTACACGCGCGTCGCCACCTTTGAACGCTTCCTCTTCAGGCTGACGTCTCGTTTGTCCTTTCCATGTATGTGCTTCAGCGCTGTGTTCACAGCGTTCGGAGTGAGCAGGAGTCTTGTCTGCTTTTGTTTGTTTGTTTGTTTTGAGAAGATAATTGTGTGTTCTGTGGATGGTCTGGACAGCCACGGAAAAAGACGGGAAATGAGAGTGTGATCAAGACCCGGGATCCTTCACATTTTCAGTTGACCAAGACTGCCACAGTGGTTGTGTGGCGCAGCGAGGACGCAGCATTAAGTTATTTAGTAGTATCTCACTGGTGGCTTTTTTACAAAGCTCTTTATTATCCTGTTTCACCTTGAAATTTTATGATGTTTTTCAGTCATCATGCTTTTAACATTAATTCCCACCCCCCAAAAAACCCCACATCATGCAAAGTCTTTGTATATATCTTAAGCATTTTGTCATGCTGCGTCTAAGATGTAAGGTATAGCGTTCAGTATTACCTGTCGTGTATTAACTGTGTGTGTGTGTCTTTTAGTAATGGGCACAGAAAACCATTACAAGTTCATGTTGTGAGTCCTTAAAGGGACAGAAAGGTATGTAGTCAAGTGGAATTTGTTACTGTTCAGTGTTACATTTTAAAAAACCTGATACTCTGTAATCTTCTCCTGCAAGCAACTTTGCTTTCTTACTCATTTCAATTTACTAGGTTTGCAAAATTTTGTAACCTTTTTGTGTTTTTAGCCTTTGTATTTTTTACAGCCTAGACCCTTGCAAAGTCTGAAACTTTTTTAAATGTTGTATCTGATTTTTGGCAGACAGCATTTGCATACCAAGCTTGCCGTGGTCTCCCGTCTTCACTGCGAGGGCCCTGGGGCCTTTCTTTTCCTTGCTAGAAGGTAACCAAGTGCCTCTAAGCCCTGCTCGTTTGTAAACAATGAAGAGGATCATGTGAACCTGCTCAAAATTTTTTGATAATTGCTTTTATAACTCATTTCTAATGATGGGGACATGTAAAAGTTGCTGATAAAAGCATAGTGTCCATTTAATTAAGTCAAGATGGCTAATGAAATTAACTTTCTCTCCTCCCCTTACCAGTGGGCAATGATTTAGACGTTTCTCCTCGCAGTTGTGTTGAAGTAAATTACTATAGGCGTCAAGACAGACCCGTCACGTGCTCGCACGATTTTGTACGCAGTGACTGCTTACTAATGAGCGTTCAGAAGATTTTTACACTGTCACGTCAGAACCCAGGATACTCAGTTTTTAATCAAAACTCGTTTAAAATAAAAATTGACAGTAACTGGGTTATTGAATTATGTAACTGAAACCGCCTAGGTTATATATTTCCTGTATCCCTTAATAAGGTTGGAGACCACTGCAGTTTAGGATAATAAAATAATAAAACATTTCAATCAGCACTAAAACTTTAATTAAGCCAGTAATGATGCGTGTCTGTTGGCTGACAGCACGGGTCGGTACAGCCTTCAGCGAGTGCCTGACTCTATTTGAAACCACGCACATGTAAGGTACAGTCAGTCAGATGATGTGGTTTTGATTTTAAAAATCCTCTGTTGCTTTTTGGGATATATTTAAATTTATTTTAAATATGTATTAGTCTAAGCATTTGGGTATATGAAGGCTCCTTATCCAAGGAACACCCACTGAAGTTTTTATGCTTATCATCGCTGCATTGATGGCCTACAGTGAATTTTTTTTTTTTTTTTTTTTACAGTTTAGGTGCCAGTGTTGCCAAAAATATTTATTGTTCAGTTTTTAGTGAAAAATACAAAGTGCCAAAAAAAAATCTTTGCAAGCCAGAGTCCATACATCAACTCTTCCCAAGACACTGTGACCATGTACAGTAGAAGTTTCTATTTCCTGATGACCAAATCCCTCAGTGGATTCGTGCACTCATCAGTATTTTCTTCCATGACCTTCTCCTTGGAGTATGCAGGCAGAGAGAGAGAGGACGAGCGCCTGACACCTGGCTCTGGTGTCCGGCCCACCCAGCCAAAGCAAGAGACTTGTGGCTTAAGCTCCCCACCACACAGGCCTTAGTGGCTGTCTTAACATTTGGTAGTAACCTCAAGCATGGCTCTGGTTTTTATCAATAGGAAAACCACTTGATTTTTGCTTCTCAGCAGTCAAAAGAACCTCTCAGTCCAACAGAAGTGCTCTTACTGGACTCCTCAGAGCCCTGCAGCCTCCACCCTCTAGGAGCTGCCTGCCCTGCACAGCCGGCGGCTGCACCTGGCACCTGTGCTCCCACCCCCACCAAGCTTCTCTGTGCAGGTTCTACTTATGTTGTAAGTACACATCTCAGTTAACCATTTATGGAAACTTAGGGAATATGATTTTAAAAAGAACATTATTTCTGTAAAAATTAACTTGAATGCTTTGAGAAACTAATAAAAATTACTTTGAAATGAGGAGTGATTGAGAAAATTGTAAAATACTAGGGAGAAAAGAAGTCAAGAAGATTTTTGAGTTGTGCTTCACGGATTTATCTAAGTACTCATTCCATCTTTAAGAAAAATCTAAGCCAGTGGGAAGGTGTTAGAAGGTACGCAAATCACGTCACTGGTGTCACACAGAAGTAGAACGGTGATCATTGCGTCCTGAGGCAGATAGTCCTTGGCTTCAGGTCGGAAGTTAGCAGATGGACGTAGAGTTATACATTTCAGGTGACATGTCCCTCCCTTAGCCCACTTAACTTCATTAAATGACCCACTACTGACACTGATCACAGTGGCTAATAGAGATCCCGCGAGCTGAAGCAGCCCAGTCACTGTATTCCAGCCTTTGGAAGGAGAGATTCATTTCCGGGAACGGAGGAGGACACTATCGAGGCCAGTTGTGGTCTCTGAAGACGATTCTCCTGCCGTGTGAATCCGGCCTGGCCTGTGTCTGCGTGTGCGTGTGCGTGTGGGTGGCTGTTGCCAGGTGACAGGGCACGTGTAGATATTACATCCAGTCTGCATTTTTACTTCACTGTTAACTAAAAAAAAGTTTATTTTCACTCCACAATAACTTTCTCTAAGTTGTAAAAGTTTTAGCTCATCTTTGGCCAGAATCTACCTGAATTAACAGAGATATTTAATTTTAAAACTTTGGAATTACTAGGATATATAAAATCTCAGATTATACATCTTGCTTTATCCATGATAACTTTTTGGCCTAGGAGAGAGTGCTTGTCTAAGAACAAAGCTTTGAAGATGAGAGAGACTTTCTTGTTGGAATTGATTTTTCTGTTTTTAACATCCTAGGGTTGAAATCTTACAAAGAGCTTTTATAACTTGTTGTACTGAATTGTATGGAGATTATATACTAAATAAAGCTCTTTTAAATTCCACAAGATGATGTCTATCATTTTTAAATTTCATTTTCATTTATGAGGTAATTTTTAAAAGATTTATTTATTCACGTGAAGTCAGAGTTACAGAGATCTTCCATCCGCTGCTTCACTCCCCAGTTTTGCTAAGAGAGTGTAGATAACAAACGTGTTCCACTGTTGTGTTGAAAAGAGAAGTTGAAATTCCAGGCAGAAATCATCAGAAAGACAAGCAGATGCGGGCGGTGGGCCGCCGCGCACTCCGGGCCCTCAGACAGCGTCCGGCACAGTCAGAACCGCAGGCAGTGAAGGTGTGTGAGGGTCTCGGGATGAGAAGGAACCAGACGGGGAATGGGTTCGTGCAGGACACCAGGCGCTGGGCAGGTGAAACACTCTGCTGCCCCTCCTTTCAGACAAGGTTTCTGAAACTCGCCTTCATAAACCTCCCCTGTTGATATTGAATTATTATTTTATTGAAAAGGAAAGCTCCCACCTGCTGTCTCACTCCCCGTATGCCTGCGGCAGCCAGGACCTGGCCGAGCTGAATCCAGGAGCTGGGAACGCCGGCCGAGAGCCAACGACTTGAACCTGGGCGTGCAATACCCGGAAGCTGGAGTCCGATCAGAGCAGGGACTCAAACCCAGGCGCTCCAGTGTGAGATACAGGCCTCCCAAGCAGCACCTTCACCACCGAGGAACGCCCCACCGCCTGTTAATTTAACGTTCAGAAGCTGGCTTTATAGGACTGTTTCCCAGAAAGCAAATAAGAGAGCTCCAGCAGAGTGTGAACTCCGTCTAGTGGGCCGCAGCCAGCGTCTGAAGGGAAGAAAGGCAGGGCAGGAGGTAAAGGCAGGTGCGCTCTCGTGGATGGTTGGTTTCACTTACACACGTAGGTGCTAGTGTCCCGGGGCACAATACAGAATGCAGTTCTTACTCTGACTTGCAGTCAGAGTTCAGGAGCTGTGGCTCACAGCCCTGCAGCCTGGGGAGTTCCGAGAGGGAGCCATGCATTTGTCCCGCTGCTTGTCCTGGACTCACTCTAGCGGGACTGTGAACACAGTGATACTACAGGGCTGTTACAGTTTTAGATGTGAGTGCACATCTGGTTAGGTTTTTTAAAAGTCCTTATCTGATAAAATACATACAGAAGTACTCACATAAAACTGTATTCCAGGGTTTTCATCAAAATCATTTTGTGGAGCATCTAGATGAAATAGATGAATGACATAATTTAAGCTAGTGTTAAATGTTTCATAATGAAAAAAGAAAACCAATAAATAAAAAACTAGGGAGGTAAAACTTAGAAGGCAGAAGCTGAAGTGAGTCTATTAGAGAAATAGGATAAATAAATCCAGAATCTACTTCTTTTTAAAAGACTGTTAACAAAGTGTATAAATGCCTTATAAATCTGATTAAGAAAAAAGAGCAAAGATACAAAATATTTGGAATATGAAAGAAGACATAATCCTAGAATCAGGAATGATGAAAATTAATGTCTACAATTTTATACAAAAGTAAATTGGAAAACTACATGAAATGGATGATCTCCTAAAAAATTGTCAAGATGGTCCCCAGTAGAACTGGAAAACTTGAATAAACAAGGACCATAATGGGACCGGCACTGTGGCGCAGCAGGTTAGGCCGCTGCCTGTGACTCCGGCATCCCATATAAGCACAGGTCTGAGTCCCAGCTCCTCCACTTCCAGTCCAGCTCCCTGCTGATGGGCATGCGAGGGCAGCAGGAGGTGGCCCAAGTGTGTGCACCCCTGTCACCCATGGGAGATGTGGGTGGGGTTTCAGGCTCCTGGCTTTGGCCTGATCCAGTCCCGGACACTGTTCATTTAGGGAGTGAACTTAAGGATAGAAGGTCTCTGTCTCCCTCTTTCTGTAACTCTGCCTTTCAAATAAATCTTTAGAAAATAAAATAGGGGCCAGTGCTGTGGCAAATAGGTTAAACCTATGCCTGTGGCACCAGCATCCCATATGGGCACCAGTTCCTGTCCAGGCCACTCCTCTTCCCATCCAGGTCTCTGCTAATGGTCTGGGAAAGCAGTGGAAGGTGGCCCAAGTGCTTGGGCCCCTGCACCCACGTGGCAGACCTGGAAGAAGTTCCTAGCTCCTGGCTTCAGATGGACCCAGATTTGGCCATTGCAGCTATTTGGGGAGTGAACCAGTGAATGGAAGACCTCTCTCTCTCTCTCTCTCTTTTCCCTCTCTGTCTATAAATCTGCTTCTGAAATAAATAAATCTTTAAAAAAAAATAAATCTAAGGGGCTGGTGCTGTGGCACAGCAGGTTAAAGGCCCGGCCTGCAGTGCCAGCATCCCATATGGGCTCCAGTTCTAGTCCCAGCTGCCCTTCTTCCAGTCCAGCTCTCTGCTGTGGCCTAGGAAATCAGTAGAAGATGGGCCAAGTCCTTGGGCCCCTGCACCCAGATGGGAGACTGGGAAGAAGCTCCTGGCTTCTTATCGGCGCAGCTCCAGCCTTTTTGGCCATCTGGGGAGTGAATCAGCAGATGGAAGACCTTTCTCTCTGTCTCTGCCTCTCTCTCTCTCTTTCAAATAAATAAAATAAATCTTTAAAAAATAAATTTTGAAAAGAATCATAGAACATTTGGAAAGGGGGTTTGGAGGCTTGCAGAGGACCTTTGGACAGGAATGGTATACAACCCAGTATTTCTAACTATTTAAGAAGGAATGACTCCAAGTTTGTTTAGTGTCAGCCCTAGAACAATAAGGAAAGCTGTCAGGTTTGTTCGGGAAACTAGTCCGTTTTACCGCCAAAACCACACAAATAGTACATTAGTTTTCTGTGACTGCATAACAACAGGTCATCACAAACTCAGTAGCTCAGAACAGCAAATGTGTATTATCTCAGAATGTACTGGGTCAGGTGAGTACAGCTTACCTGGCTGCTCTTCCAGGTCTTACAAGGTACAGTTGAGATGTCAGCTGGGTTGCACTCTCCTTGAAGTCTGGAGACCTCTTCCAAGGTCGTACAACCTGGTGGCAGAATTCATTTACTTACACTTGCAGGGTTGAGGCCATTAGCTCCTAGAGGCCACCAGTCTTGTGTCTCTTCAAGGCCAGCAGAAACCTGTAGGAAAGATCCAGTTCCTCATTTAAGAGCGTGTACTTGATTAAGTCAGGCCCATCCAGGATAATCTCCATTTTTGTGAATTAAAAGTCAACTGCTTTCGGACCTGAATGGCATCTCTAAGTCCATTCACCATTGCCATAGAGCATAACCTAACCAGGAGAATGATGTGTGTCATGCTCTCTGCTCCCACTCATATTCAGATGGAGGAGTTTGTACATGGGGTGGGAATCTTGGGGGCCATCTTAGAATTCTTTCTCCTACAGAGGTTTAAAATATGGCAGCAGTTACCACAGGGCAGTAAACTCAAGGGAAATCCACAAGCCAAGTGCCAGTATTCACACTGGCTGTCTCCCTTAGAGTGTTTCCCAAACTGTGGCACAAGGAACATGGAGCTCAAACAGGATTTGGCAGATTGACTGGAGGAAACGATTTCATGGCTACTGGAGCAGCTGGGATTTGTCAGGGGTTCAAGGAGCAGGGCACTAAAAAGATATGCAACCAGTAGAAACCTGAGAAATTTCCTGTTGAATCCTTGGCTAATTCCTAACTTGCAAGGTACAGTTAAGCAGAGAACATCTGGTGAGTAGCAGGAAGTTGAACAGAGCTAAGTTGCTGAGGCAGTGGAAGTGGGCCCCGACCAGAGGGAAGACCATGGTGAATCTCCTGGTCATCCAAGCGAAACCCTAGGAAGGGTGCCTCTCATCCTGCACGCAGAGACTGTTATTGTTATCCAGATTACCTGCCGGGAGCAAGTGTAAGTCTGCTGTGAAGAATGGTAATCTGGCCCACGACCTCAAATTATCTCTACATTTAGAATTTTTTTTCCAGTTTATTGAAATGCAGAGAGACAACAGGAGCTAGGTCTTACATCTGTTAGTTCACTCACCGAATGCCCACAGCAGCCAGGGCTGGAGCAGGCTGAGACCAGGAGCCTGGAACTCAATCTGGGTGTCAGGGACTGAAAGATGCAGGTTCATTATCTGCTGCCTGCTGAGTGCATCAGCAGGAGGTTGGATCAGAAGTGTAGCAGCTGGGACTCACAGCACTGTTTAGCATCCGAATAAAAATAGGAATTTTTTAAAAATAAGACAAACAAAATTGTGTTTGAAATAGAGCCATAGGTGAATCCGATTAGAGTCTAAAGCATAGACTTTCGTGTAATTTGCTAATTCTGTTCAGGAAATTAAGTGGCAAGGTAGAGAATTTAAATGAATAACTGAAAACTATTTTTAAAAAATGGAAAGACTAGAACCAAAAAGTGCAACAAATTAAATTCTCAATGTGGATAACAGCAAATCAGACACAGCTGAAGAGAGAATTTTTCAACTGGATAATAGCTTAAAAGAAAATATCTAAAGCACCCAGATCGAGAGTAGATAAGAAACCAAGGAGAAAGCATGGAGCGTGTTTTAGACCATCTCACTGTATCCTGTAGGTGTAACTGAAACCCCACAAGAAGAATGGGCGCTCACGACTCTGGGCAAGCTCTGTGCCTTCGTCCATTTTGTGCAGCTGTCAGAGCATTTGAGACTGGGTGGGTGACAGTGAACATGAACCCTCACAGTTTAAGAGGCTGGGAAGTCCAAAATCAAGGTGCCGGCACTGAACAGGTCCTTCCTGCTGCATCTAATGGTGAAAATCATCAAGGGTGGAGGGAGGGGAGGCGTGGGGGGGGGGGGAGGGGAGAGACCGTCTTCTCAGAAGGAACCCACCCCTATAGGAACAGCATTGATCCATTCTTGAGAGCAGAGCCCTCACTGCCTAATCACCTCTTAGGGCCCCACCTCGTCACACTGTCATTCAACACATTCAAACCACAACACGACTTGTAGCCTTATGCTTCTTTTGCAGTGAAAGTGGAGTAATCTATATACAGGGTTTCTGTGCAGATTGAATGAGGTGACATTTAAGGGGTGGATCCCAGTAG